CACTATTCCCCAAACTCTTTCCACCCTGCTCCATCTCTTTGCCTTTGCTCATGCCTTATCCTACACTTTTGAAATCCTACCTCAAGACTCAAATCAAGTATCGCTTTCTCTAAAGCCTTACCTGACCACCTGCCCTCCTCTCTTTCAGAGTGATAAGTGGATTTTTCTTCCCTCTAAACCATCCTAGCACTTTATCACATTTTTTTGTAGTTCTCGCCTTTTGTATTTTAACATTTATTTATTCCCTACCATCTCCTCTTCCATATTATAAACTCTTTGAGGAAAAAGGAATGTTATTTATTTTTGTTTCCTCAGTACTTAGTACAATGCTTTCCTCATCACAAATAATCAATTGAATTCTCTAAATAAAATCCTGAACCAGAAAGTAGAAAGACAAATAGAGAAATTGTTTAGAATGTCATGAGCTACTTTGGTGCCTGGTTTATAAAAAAAAATACATAGAATATAAAGTTATTGATTTGATAATTCATCATTTTTTCTTGCCTTTTTCTAAAAGTTTAGTCAAAGAAAGCTGCATGGGACATTAAGCATGAATCTTAGGAAGAAAGTAATAATAATGATTAAGCTCAACCTGCCCTCAGGGAGCTTACTTATTGAAATATGGCATCACTGCTGCCACTCATGTGCTCTTGAAGTGTAATCATGTGGTGTGCCAAAACTTGATCTGTGGGAATTTAGAAGACATGATTCTGTGTCACCTCACAAAAGATATCACTAACAATTCCTTTCCCTAAATAATAGTGTTAGATTCACAAATAAAGGTGTAAGTTTGATCTTGACTCATTAAAGGTGACTCAGAAATATTTTAAGTTTTCAGACATAAAACATGGCTTGTATTATGTACTGAGTACTCAGGTCAAAATATCTGAACAGACAAAACAGGCAGGGGCTTTCACTTTACTGTTAACTTTTTCCTTTTGTTTTTTCACTGCAAAGTTCTGCTTAAGGGTCTAGGTTTTAAATTTGTGAATGTAGTCAGTCCAAAGATACTCACTAGCTTGTATTTTTGGAGGATGGCATTGTGTGTATATCGGTCCCCAAAATAAAGCATTTCAACATTAACATATTTTTTCAGTATAGACTCTAAAATTCTAGGATTACTTTACCATGTATCTTCTATCCACATTAATTTATAGCCCCTACTATATATATATATACAGTAACCTTTCATTTGTCAAAAATCATAGTCAAATCGAGCCCCTAAAATTTTTGAAATAAAGATTGACCCCACACAGTGAATTAGCTTTTTCTGTAGTCATATCTGCTATTGCAAACAACTGCACCTTGAACTACATAAGTTGGGGGGGGGGGTACTTGGTGGTAATTGCCACCAAGTTACCATTTCATTGGAGCTCCAATCAAACCAGTTCATCAAAAAAAGTATTTATTGAAAAACAACTATGTTGGGGCAGCTAGGTGGCACAGTGGATAGAGCTCTGGCTTTGGAGTCAGGAGGACCTGAGTTCAAATCTGGCCTCAGACACTTGACACTTACTAGCTGTGTGACCCAGGGCAAGTCACTTAACCCTAATTGCCTCACCAAAAAGCAAAAACAAAACAAACAGAAAAAAACCAACAACTGTATCCATGGTGTTGCTCGAGGTCACTCTAGAAGATGTAGAAAACTATACAAGAGATGGTTCTTGAGCTCAATGAGCTTGTAGTCTGAGAAAATAAGTTGCTACATGAAAAGCTGAATAACAATACAAGACAAAATATGACTAAATGCTGGCTAAGTGGTACTAGCAGCAAAGTGAATTCTAAAGGTGATTGGCAGTTGGGGAAATCGAGGCAGGCTCAATTGGAGCCCTCCTGGAGAAGTAAGGACTTGGGGAAATCAGGGAGTTCAGGGAGGATGTGGACTTGAGATGATCCTCAAAGAATTTATATGGGTAGGTGAGCCACAAAAGGCATTTCTGGTAGGAGCACAGCATGACCAATAGTGTGAAGGCTTGAATGAATAAAATACATGAATAGGTCAGGTTGGAGGGAAGGCAGTTGAAACTACTGGTTCAAATGAGATATGGTGTTTAGCTATGAATAATTTTTCCATTTTCTCCATAGTCTCCTTTGCCACAGATAATATAGAGTTGTCTGAGTAAGGGAATCTTGTTTTTACGTTACCTTTGATGTTTTTGGCCCATGTATCTAGGATCATACATATCCAGAAATTGATGGAAGGAAATATTTTTGAAGTAAAATAAAATGAAGGACATTTTAATTTGTGGAGGGAGTTGGTAATCCTTTTTTTAAAGTGTATTTATTTCCCTTAGTACCCTGTGCTTCTTGGCTCTAAAAACACTTTCCTGCTTTAATTAGCAGAATTTTCCACGCAGGCTGCCCTGATGTATAGGAATCCATTGGGGAAACCTCAGATCCTAATGCCATGAGGTCATCTACCAACCAGGTTGTTGTCTTTTCTATTACTTGTAGATTGAGACTGAACCTTACAGATCTGGTTTTTCTACAGTAATTAAAGTTTCAGTCAAATTATGCAATTAATTGATTTCACTCATAATTGTCACAATGTTCCTTAATTCTCTTGAAGAAATTGGGAAAGTAAAGTATATTTCTTTTCCTGTTAGCTTTCAAGGAAGTAAGCATTTCTTTAAGAAGAATTTCTTCATCCAACCCTGCTTTTGGCTACATCAAACATGCAAATGCCTTGGGGATAGGGCTTGCTCAGTGAGGCAGCAGCAGAAGCAAAAGAGCGAGATAATGAGCTGAAATGGATTTCAGGTTTTCCTTGCTCTCCCTGCAGAAAGCCTGTTGGCTTTTATAAGCCTGAGTAGAGCCAGAAGGCATTCAGTCACAGTAAAACAATGACATTTTTGCACACCATGAGGCATAGAATTTTCAGTCTCACCATCACCACCACTCCTCCCAAGTCTTCCTCCCCCTCCCCCATCCTAGCCAACATTTATATGATTGGGAAGTTCTAGCTGGACTAAGTTCATGTGAAAAAGATGAGAATTTTTAAGGGACTGTGAGCTCAACAGCATGACATAGCTCCCCCTGCCCCTCCCCAAAAAAAGAATTCAGTACTTGGCTCGCTAATAGAAATCTATGGTTTACAATGAGGGAAGGGATAGTTCTGAATTCTGAACCAGACAGATCCCTCTTAGAGTACTGTGTCCAATTTGAGTTGCTGCATTTTAGGAGGGACATCAATATACTAGAATATGTTCAGAGTATCTAGGATGCTGGGGGAACTCAAAATAGGCCACATGAAGATCAGTTGCTGGTGGAACCATAGTTATTTAGCCTCACAATTAAGAAGGCATAAAAGAGGTAGGATAGTTATCTTCAAATATTTGAAGAACTGTTGCTTAGAAGAGGAATCAAACTTGTTTTCCTTATACTAGTAGGTGTAAAGTTGTAGTACTTTCTGGAAAGCATATTTTAATTCAATATAAGAGAGAATTTCCAAATAGAACTGTCTGAAAAGTAGAAGGGGGCCACTTGGGAAAGCAGTGGGATTCTCCAACACTGGGGGCCTTCAAAATGGAGGCTGTATGGCAACTTGTTAGAAATATGGTAAAGGAAGATTTGTGCTTAGTGTAGGGATTGGCGTAGTTGCCTTCTTAGGTCTCTTCTATTTCTAAGAGTTTACAATTCTATTGTTCTCTGCTGTTCCTAAGAGAACTTATGTATCTCTACCTATAGGCAGCTTTGTATTTCAGTGCTATGTCCCTATAACCTAAAAGAGTTTTTTAATCCATTGGATTTTCTGATAGAGAATGGGTCACACACAGAGTTAATAAAGATACCTCTATTAGAATCCATTAGTGAGCTACAAGATTCTCAGAGTCTACTATAATATTTTAATGGACAGTGAGTAGAGAAACTTTTCTTGAGTTACTGTATTTTGTAGATTACTGCAATACTGCTTACTATACAGCCAGCATGATATATTTTCATTCTTGCATCACAAAAGCACACATATGACCACTTACTTCAAATTGCCTGTTTGTATTGAGCTATGCAGAACTATTATTGTTTTTTAAACATGTAAACATCTTTGTGGTGGTTGTTTGGTCATGTCTGGCTCTTCAAAAACCCCATTTGGGGTTTTCTTGGCAATGATATTGGAATGGTTTTCCATTTCTTTCTCCAGTTCATTTTATAGATGAGGAACTGGAAGCAAACTGAGTTAAGTGACTTGCCCAAGGTCACACTAGCTGGTAAGTGTCTGTGGTCAGATTTGAACTCGGAAAGATGAGTATTCCTGATTCCAAGCCCAGTGCTCTATCCACTGTGCCACTTAACTGCCCCAAATGTAAACATCTTAGCCCACTAAAATTAGTTTGCTCAAAATACCATATAAATCATCTAGTCACCCATAGTGACTGGCATGTATAATCCAAGAGCCTTTCCATAGTGAACTTAGGAAAGAGAAGTCATCATGAGCCTACTTAGTATAATTTTTCTTTAATCAACTGTATGTTCACCACCCAAAACCTGTAGTAAATTGTATATCTCAGCCTCTTTTGCTTAAACTAATGTTCCATTATTGCTCTGTGAACAAATGTTTAATAAGCACCTATTTTGGACCCAATGGGCAGCTAGGTAGTGCAGTCAATAGAATGCCAATGCTGGAGTCAGGAATCCAGACTCATCTTCTGGCTTTACTACCTGTGTGACCCTGGGCAAGTCACTTAACCTTGTTTGACTCAGTTTCCTCATCTGTAAAATGAGCTGGAGAAGGAAATGGTAAACCACTCCAGTGTCTTTGCCAAGAAAACTCCAAATGGGGTCACAAAGAGTCAGACATGACTAAAATGAATGAACAACAACATGGACCCCATGTTGTGTTAGGGCTTGTGGGGGAGGGGGCCCAATAGATATACAAATAAGTGCTCAGAAAATATTTAATGATTTTTCTAAATTGGTGTTTTTATATTAAACTTGGAATTTTAACTGTCTAGAGCAGCAGTAGCATATGTTGTTTATAAGAAATGTCTTCTTTTTACTTACAGGCATCTTTCCCAGGGAACCTGCAGCTTGTCCTTGTTCTACGCCCAACAGGATTTTTACAACGGACTCTCTCAGACATTGCTTTCAAATTCAATAGAGATGAATTTAAAATGAAGGTACCTGTAAGTATTTCCATACTTGATCTTTTTCCCCAAGGATGTGCTTGTGAGGAAAGGAATCTCTTCCTTTGTTACCAATGGAAATTGTCTAAAGTATTAATAATTATTATAAAATTGTTGTGATAAGATTCTGGACACTTATTCCCCAGGAAGGATCCCAAAGATGTCATTAAAGAGACTTGGAAAAATGATTGGACCTTGAACTGGGAAAAATTTGATTGATTAGACTTTGAGTTCCAGACTTCCATAAATTACCTAGAACTTGAGGTATCCCCCAGATGGTGAGACAGATGTAACACAGACCCAGATGTTAGCCTAAAATCAGACCTGAGCCTGATAACAGAAATAAGAACCAAACTTAATAGTCTGCTGATTTTGCCAGAGAGAACTGACTGTGAGGAATAAGAATAGAACAGGGTATCCCTTTAAGCCATCTGTGGCTAGACTATAATATTTAGGATAGGATTTTCTGAATCTGCAACTCATGAATTATGATTTTGGTTATGCTTTGTTTTACCTTCCTCTTAGGAAAACTCCTTTTGAAAAACCCACCCAAACACATCTCAAACAAAACTAAGAGACGAAGGGGTCTGTACACACCCAGCTCGGCAGCAGCATGATGTCATGCAAAGACCCCTGGATTGGGAGTCAATGCCTTTGTGTTTCAATCCCAGTTCTGCCACACCTGTGTGACCTTGGGCAAGTTATTAATTCACTTGGAAAATGAGAGGGGTGACTAAAACAGTGGTAGACATGAATCTCTGTGGGCAACATACTGACCTAGGAAACTACAAATCAACACAATCTGTGTTGTATTTTTATTTATTTTATTAAAAATTTCCCAATTCCATTTTAATCTGGTTGGGTAGCAGTAGGAGTTTTGAGATCCCACTTGCCACCTGTAGGCTGTTGTCACAGTCCTAGGGGAAAAAAAGGAAGATATCTTTCACTAGAGGAAAAGACAGGAGGGGGAAAAGAAGGAAATACGTACTTATATAGTACCTACTATGTGCTAGGCTTTGTGGTGCTTTTTACAAATATTATCTCATTTGATTCTCACAACAATCCTAAGAAGTAGGTGCTATTATTATCCTTGTTTTCACAGTTGAGGAAACTGAGGCAAACAGAGGTTAAGTAACTTGCCCAGGGTCACACTGCTAGTAAGAGTTTGAGGCTAGATATGAACTTGGGTTTTCCTGACTCCAGATGCAGCACTCTAATCCTTTCTTTCCCCCTCTTGCCTCTAGTGAAGGACATCTTCCTTTTCTTTTTTCTTTCTAGGGCTGTGACTGTTCTTTAAGGAAAAAAAAAACAAACTGAATGTGCAGAACTCAATATGTTGGTAGCAGCATTAGGTTAATTTGTATTTCCCATAAAATATAGTTAATGGCTCTGAATTACCAATAGTTACTTAATGAATCATCATGGCACAAGTGGCTGCCAGTATAAGTCTTCTCTCTTGTGAATTTCTGCAGAAATAGTGCATTTCTTTAAAATAAGAGAGCAACAGGATATGTGGCTTGATCCAAGAGCCCTTGTAATATCTTAGGAAATGTGAATTGAATTATTTGTGGAAACTGTGATTCTGATGCAATGGTACTTTTATAAAGTTGTTGTTAATGTTGTTCTTTTATTTTCTTAGTGGTATCCAACTTTTGTGACCCCATTTGGAATTTTCTGGGCAAAGATACTGGAGTGGTTTGCCATTTCCTTCTCCATCTCATTTTACATATGAGGAAACTGAGGCAAACAGGGTTAAATTACTTGTCCAGGGTCACACAGCTAGCAACTATCTGAGGCCAGATTTGAACTCAGGAAGATGAGTCTTCCTGCCTCCAAGGCAGGCTGTCTATCCACTGTTCCATGCCACTTAGCTGCACACCTTTTCTCTATTATGTTTCCCCAAAACAACTTTTCCACACAAATCAAAACAAAAGCAAAAACTATCCTGAAAAGGAAGGGTGAAGAAAAGGTGGCTTTCATTCCCTTTGCTCCCCATCACCCATCTCTTCCTGTCCCCTCCCTCCAATACATGAAGCCATTTCCTTCTTCATCAATTCACAGAATCATTGCTTTTTTGGTGGAAGAGACCTTTAAGATCACGTAGTTTAGCCCCCTCATTTTACACATAAGTAAACTGAGATGTAAAGTGACTTGTCCAAGGTCATGCAGGTAGTAAAGTGGTTGAGCTAGGATTTGAACTCGGGTTCTCTGACTCCAAATTTAATCTTTTTTTTAATTAATTTATTTATTTTTAGTTTTCAACATTCACTTCCATAAGATTTTGAATTTTCTCCCCTTCCCTCCCCTCTCCCCTCACCAAGACAGCATGCAATCTGATATGGGCTCTACATACATATTCATATTAAGCTTAGTTTCACATTAGCCATGTTGTAAATAAGAATTAGAACCAATGGGAGGAACCATGAGAAAACAGAAACAAAACAAAGCCAAAAAAAGAGAGCAAATAGTATGCTTCAATCTGCATTCAGACTCCATAGTATTTCTCTGGATGTGGATAGCATTTTACATCATGATTCTTTTGGAGTTGTCTTAATTCCTTGCATTGCTGAGAAGTGCTGTTACTGTGTAACTACGTTCTCCTGGTTCTGCTCACTTCACTCAACATCAGTCCATACAAGTCTTTCCAGGTTTTTCTGAAGTCCACCTGCTCATCATTTCTTACAGCACAATAGTATTCCATTATATTCATATACCACAACTTGTTCAGCCATTCCCCAATTGATGGGCATCCCCTCAATTTCCAATTCTTGGCCACCACAGAAAGAGCTGCTATAAATATTTTTGTACATGTAGGTCCTTTTCCCATTTTTATGATCTCTTTGGGATACAGACCTAGAAGTGATATTGCTGGATCAAAGGATATGCACAGTTTTATAGCCCTTTGGGCATGTTACAAATTACTCTCCAGGATGGTTGGATCAGTTCACAAATCCATCAATAATGCATTAGTGTTCCAATTTTCCCGCATCTTCTCCAACATTTATCATTTTCCTGTTTTGTCATGTTAGCCAATCTGATACATGTGATATGGTACCTCAAAGTTGTTTTGATTTGCATCTTTCTAATCAACAGTGATTTAGAGCATTTTTTCATATGACTATAGATAACTTTAATTTCTTCATCTGAAAACTGCCTGTTCATATCCTTTGACCATTTATCAAGTGGGGAATGACTTGTATTCTTATAAATTTGACTCAGTTCTCTTATGTATTTTAGAAATGAGGCCTTTATCAGAGACACTGGCTCTAAAAATTGTTTCCCAGCTTTCTGCTTCCCTTCTAATCTTGTTTGCATTGGCTTTGTTTGTGCAAAAACTTTTCAATTTAATGTAATCAAAAGTATCTATTTTGCATTTCATAATGTTCTCTATCTCTTGTTGTAATGATAATACCTGATACTTATATAGCATTTTAAAGTTCAGAAATCCTTTACATAAATTTTCTCATTTGAACCTCAAAATAACTCTGTGAAGAGTATTATCGTCATTTTGCAGATAAGCAAACTGAGACTCATAGAGCATAAGTGACTTTCCCATAGTCACATAGCTGGGAAACATCAGAGACAGAATTCAAATCCAAGTCTTCCTTTCTTACTCCAAGTTTAGCATTCTGTCCTTTTTAACTGAAGCCATAACTCTTTCCTTTCAGCTGATCATATTACTAGAAGCATATTATTTATAGCAACCCTGGAAAGTTCAGAACTTTCTACACAGGCACAGTGGGTTATCTGTAAAAATACTGGTGTATGTTTTGCAGTGTAAATACCACACTGAGTCATTATAAATAAAAGCATCAGATGCTCTGGGATTTTTGTGAATAGTATGTTCTATGTTTGAAAGTAGCCTTAGAGTCTAAAGAACCACTATATGGATGTGATTCATGGTAAACCTCATGAAAGCAAAGACCATTGCTTTAGGTTTCCTATACATCATCATTTGGCACACTTTGGGTGGTTTGAGGCCATGTTAATCAAATGGGCATAGATGTCACTTTAAGGTATAAAGTTCCATGTTTTTTGGAGCCTTCTATACCTCTTAAGTCCTATTGAGCAGAAACATTTCCATTTTTATAATTCTCATAATGAATACAAATTTTTTTCTACCAGCTATTAGGTTAAGCTTTGCTTTATATTTCACAAGTAAGTCACGTCAGGAATGCACATTATTTAACACACATAACATTCATAGAAAGGAAGTAGTTTCCTTTAGAGTGATACCACTGTGTCATATTAATTAGTAGTCAAGAACTAGGTTTCAAAAGGTATATTAACATTAAAATCACTGGTCTTTTCTAATCTGCTGGGTCATCATTAATGGTTCCTCTCCATGGCTTATGTACAGATGTTACTTGGAGACCTTGGTGATCAACAATTCACTTCCAACATTTCTAGAGTAACAATAACTCTAGAAGGTAACATACTAGAAAGAAAATGACTGATGAATGGGATTGCTGTGTACCAATCTTTAATTGTTGATTATGAACATTTTTATTAGGCATACACAGTATGCTAGTAGTGATATGAAAAACCTAAAATATGGGACACTAATTACTGTTGATGAACTGTGAACTGATCCAACCATTTTGGAGAGCAATCTGGAATTATGCTCAAAGAGTTATAAAACTGGATATATTTTTTGACCCAGCAATACCATTATTAGGTCTGTTTCCCAAGGTGATTAGGGAAAAAAGAAAATGACATGTTCTAAAATATTTATAGCAGCTCTCTTTGTGGTGGCAAAGAACTAGAAATTGAGGGGATGCCCATCAGTTGGAGGATGGCTAAATAAGTTGTAGTATATATTTGTGATATAATACTACTCTGCTATAAGAAATGCTAAGTAGGTGGATTTTAGATGAACATGAATAGACTTACTTGAAACAATGAAGAGTGAAATGAACAGTACCAAGAGAATATTGTACACAGTAACAGTGATATTGTTCTAAAAACTACTTTGAACAACTAAGTCATTTTGAATATCATAAATACTAAAATCAACTACAAAGTTCCTATGAAGGAAGATGCTATCCATATCCAGAGAAAGAATTGATAAATAAATATGTATAGTATGATTTTACACATACACACATTTGGGTCTAACAGAAGCCTTCTCTAGGGTGGGGTAGGGAGAAAGGGAGAAAAATAAAAGCACAGCAGAGAACAATAGAAAACTTCAAAGGAAGTACAGAAAGCAGAGTAACTTTTAAAATGATTTGTGGTGTTTATTATATAGTTTTTCAAATACACTAAACTGTGAAATGGAAATTCATGGTTTTATATTGAATCCTTTTTATGTTGTGCTTTATACATGGAAATGTTCTTTTTTGTCTTTAAGTTCAAAATAAGTAAAAAATTTTTAAAAAGAACACCTAAAATAAAGCAATTTAGAAAGGTTCCCTCAAAAAATGCATGAGTAATGAGAAAGAAATGTAGAAAAGTTTCTTTGACTATTTTTCTCTGGGTTAGGTTTGCTTGGAGGACACTAAAGAATGGTGTAGAAAGACAAAAATGGGGGCTGACCAAATCTATTTTAGAGAGTTCCATTCTTAAATTAAATACGTTTTCTTCTGATTTCCTAATATAAATTACGCTATTTTTAATCTCAACAAATAGTTAACAATAGCCAGGGTGGTAATACAGAACAGATGTGAAATAGATCTAAGGACCTATTTTGGAAGACTTACTTGGTATCTTACAGAGCAATGACATTTTTTTATTTGAAATCTTGGAGTTTCATTAAGTAAAAAAAGAAAAAAAAATTATACATAGCAAAAATGGAAATAAGCCCTGGATAATTTTGGTTCTAGTTTCACAAATGAAAACCTTTCCTCTCTCTTAACTGTGTTTGTGCAAAGGAATCATTTAAATACCATAACCATATATTTCTGATGTGTAGATAAAATATAAGTTCCTTGAGGGCAGGAACTGTTCTAATTTTGTATTTGCATCCCTAACATGCTGCTTAGTACATAGTAGGTACTTAATTAATGGACTCTAGGATTGTAGATCTAGAAATGGAAGGGACCTCAAAAACCATTCATTCCAATGCTCTAATATTACAGATGAGGAAACTGAGGCTAAAAGAAGTTAAGTAACTTTTCACACAAATGTCAGAAGTATTGATTGTTCCTTGTGATTGATTGAAAAGTGAAAATTAATGAAGATAACATTTGCCATACTTATTGTGCATTGTTTAGCTCATATTTGGGGTGTTGTATAAATACTGTTTGGTGCTTGATAAAACTGCACCATTTTCCTCTGCAAGGAGTACATATAAACTGACCTTTCTCAAACTTAACAGCTATTATTTTCATCAATCATGTCCTTTGCAACAATGAAGATGTTTTGCCCTGATATATTACTGTGTCAGTTCTATAGATAGATGTTCTATTTGTGGGTTTTGCTTTGTTTCCTTTTTCTAGATCATAATGCTCAGTTCAGTACCAGAATTGCAGAGTTATATTGACAAAACACAGCTAACGGAAGATCTTGGTGGGACCCTGGACTATTGCCATAGCAGGTGGCTATCTCACCGCACAGTAAGTGACCTTTCTGATTATGTTTTTATAGTCGGGAGGAAAAGAAAGGAAAATGTTTCCCTTGATTACATGCTTACCATATAGTCCTGCTTCTGTATCATGGCATTAACTTTCCTCAAACATGTTCATGTTAACAAAAGTTTACTTCCAAAGAATGAGGAGATGGTCTCAATGGAACTTAGTCATTTTAAAGAAATAACATGAGTAATAAGTTTGGGAGTGGTTTTCTGCAGGCTTAAAGGCAAAAGGCTCTGTTGTTGTGGTGGTGGTGGTGGTGATGGGTGTGTGTGTGTGTGTGTGTGTGTGTGTGTGTGTGTGTGTGTGTGTGTGTGAGAGAGAGAGAGAGAGAGAGAGACAGAGACAGAGACCACACGTGGTCATTCTGCTCCTAACAGTGAGGGAGAGAAGTCAAGTACAGAATTACTCTGAATTTTGAGATTATGTTAAAAGTGTGTCTGATTTGAGTCTGGGAGAAAAAAAAGCATGCAGTCAAGGAACGAATGGTGAAGGTACTTGTCTATGCACTTATTGTTGCTCTGATTTTCTTTGAATCTTTTACTTTTGGAATGAGGTGATGGTTAATTTGTTAGCTGTTGTGAGACCTGTGTCTCATTTTAAAACAGCAGCTGTGTTATGTGCATAGGTTGTTTTATGATAGCCTTTTTCCCTTCTGTATTTCAAAAGGCTATTGAAAGTTTCGCACTGATGGTTAAGCAAACAGCTCAAATGCTCCAGTCCTTTGGGACAGAACTGGCTGAGACGGAATTACCTAATGATGTACAATCAACCAGCTCCATTCTTTCAGCACACACAGAGAAGAAAGGCAAGATGAAGGTAAGTGATGGATGGGAAGGGGCAAGCCTTGCTGAGGTTAAACACTAAAGGGCTCTGATCATTAAAGAAGAATTTCTAAGAGGAAAAGAGCATGATTTTCTTGATTATACCAAGTATGAGACTGAAACATGCTTGAAAAAGCACCTCTTATTAGCTAGTGCTCATTAGCTTTCCAAGTTTGGAGACTGAGGGTTCACATTTATTTCTAACATAAAAAAGCACTTTTTAAAAATATGATATAAAAAGGACAGCCTTGGTAGAATGCAGATTGAAACATGTTCTTGTGGTGGCATCAAATATGGGTAATAAATCCTTTGCGTCACTGAGTAATGATGAGATCTGCACGGAATTATGAATTAGGCTTTAAAGATATCTTTAAATGATTTAATGTGATTCATACTGGTGGTAACTGAGTCTATTGGTCAATCTGATATAAATTGTAAAGCTAATATTAAAGGTAATATTTCTATAGTACCTTACGGCAGAGATTAGACAGGCAGGTGGAGGATATTCTGTTTTATGCCAATTCCAGAAATCCAAGACTCTTAATCTTATCATATTTACTTACTAATTTCCTCTCCCAATGTCTTTCTCTCCCCACTTTGTATAAATTCCATTTTTTTCTTATCATTTGCCTACCCCTATACACTGGCTAAGTTTTTTTGCTTTGAAATAGCAGTCACTGCTCTTAGTAGAGACTTTTCCAAAGAGGATACATTCATAAGTCACCAAATATGCTGCCATAACTAACTTAAAGCAATATCTCGCTCTGATTAGAAAGAAATTACTGAAGGTAGGTGTGTTAGACAACCTGTCTTCTTTACCACTAAGCCATGTGTAGCTCTGACTGAGTCAGAGTTAATAAAGGAGACAAGTCACTTAACCTCAGTGTCCCATACAACTCTCTAATACTGTACGTTACAAAGAAAGTAACAATCCAGACTGAGAGTACATCTTTTCAAGTATTCTGCACCAATAAAATCAGAAGCCGGGCTAAAAAATTTACTTGCTAGAGCTACTTCACAGTATTGTTGTGAAGAAAGCACTTTGTAAATCTCAAAGCACGAAACAAATGTGAACTGGTATTATTATCGTTCAGAAGCTTGCATAATTCCTTCCCCCACCCCCAACTTGTTTTTTATGGAAATGTCAAGGGAAAATACTCCCTAGAGCTAAACTTGTGGGAGGTGCTTGGCTTTCCAGTATATTTGTATTAGCTTTTGTTTGTTCCCCAGAAAGAATTATGCCAACCAGCGCTTCATATCAATTGCCTTAACTTCCCATCAGACTCAGTTGATTTACCAGTCTCAAGGGTTTTTCTAGCCACACAACTGTATGTTCTTTAGCTGTTTGACCTGGACTCTAGTTCTATCTTTGCCACTAGGAAGGAATGAAATAATTATTTATTAAGCACCTACTATGTGCCAGGCACTCTGCTAAGCACTTTACAAATATTATCATATTTGAACCTCACAACCCATAGGAGATCGGGGCTTTTATTTTCACCATTTTACAAGTGAGGAAACTAAAGCAAATGAAGGTTAAGCAATTTTTGCCCAGGGCCACGTAGCTAGCTAAGGCTGGATTTGAACTCAGATATTCCTCACTCCAGGACTGGTACGCTATCTACTGGACCACCTAGCTGCCCTTCTTTTTTTTTCCTGTCAAGTGACAAGGTTTATTGTAATGACAATAGAAGTGGGGAGGGTTCCTAGTTAACCTGCCTGAACTCAGGTATTCCTGACTCCAGCCCCAGTGCTCTATCCATTGTGCCACCTAGCTGCCTAGCTAGTTGTGTGACCTTTGTCAAATAATTTCATCTTCATAATAACAATTAAAAGATTGCCTTAAAAAAAAGATTGCCTTACATCTCTAAAAAAATTTTTCTAGTTTTTTATTGTATTATTGATACGTATAACCTGAGGGCCGCTAGGTGGTACAGTAGATAGAAGACTGAACTTGGCATCAGGAAGACTCATCTTCCTAAGTTCAAATCCAGCCTCAGACACTTACTAGTTGTGTGACTGTGGGCAAGTCACTTCACACTGTTTACCTTGGTCCCTCATCTATAAAATGAGCTAGAGAAGGAAATGGCAAACCACTCCAGAATCTTTACCAAGGAAACTTCAAAGGGGGTCACAAAGAGTTGGACATGACTGAAAAATGACTGAACAACAAAAATAACCTGGCACATAGTAGTCTCTTAGTAAGTACTTTTTGATTGATTGCTCTATAATGTAGTCCTGACTTTCCCCTTCACTGGTTGTATAATACTGAGCAAGTCATTTTGTTCCTATGAGCTTGAAAGTTTCCTCAAAAATAAAATGAGAGAGTTGGGCCAGTCAATCTCTACAACTCTTTCTGGCTCTGATAATTCAATGGTTCTATAAAATTATTCAAGTAGGTAATTTCATTGTCAGTTTTCTCAATACCATTATTATCGTCACCATCCTTTATAATTTTTTTCCCTTTTCTCTTTCCACTCTGCTCTTTAAATCGGCCTGTTCAGACTCAATTAGCTAATAGCGTAGGTTCTAATGATTCGTCTTATATATCGAATGTTGAATCTCTAAAACTCTGATGAGCAAATCTGAACAAGCTGATATCTTTTCTACAGGAAGATATGATGTTAGCATTAAAAGAGGGCCACACTATCCTTGAAAGCATTAGAGAGCCACTGACCAAGAATCCTGAGTACAACCTGAATCAAGATCAACTTGACAATCAAACCACAGTGCAAAGGTGAGAGGAACCGTGAAATGTTTGAGGGTGTTTTGCTTTCTTTTCTCTTTTAATAAGTTTTATTCCAATTGATGAACATTTAATCTCTTTCCCTTTCAGCTGTCCTCCTACACTGACTGGGAAAAAAAATCTTATAACAAATATACATGGTCAAGTTTTACTTTGAATTTACGAGATTTTAGAAGGGTGCTCACATTTGCAAAGGAAACTAAATACTGCTTAAGTAACCAGGTAGACAGAGGCAAAATTGTATAGTGGCAAAGTGTAGCAAACTGGGAATGATCTGGAGAAATGGATTCTAGTCTCCATCCCGAATGTAACTAGCAGAGTGACTGAGCAATTCACTGAATCTCTCTAAGCTTCAATGCTTTCACTTATAAAATGAAGAGATTGGAATGTATTTTCCTCCAAGTCACTTCTAGCTCTACAATCTATGATTTTATGAAATTCTAGGCACTTATCTCTCTGAACACCAAAGGAAACCTCCTTTTGTAGTTCAGGATATTCCCTGAAAGAGAAACCACTAAATTTCAAAGCTGGGAGAATTCTTTATGATGCCAAATACCGAACCCTCTTCTTTCAAAGTATTTTTGCATTTACTTTCTTCTTTGTACTTACAGTATCCCTTTAGAGTGGGAGAGTCATAGGTTCTGAAAAGAATTAATAGAAAGGGAAACAAGCATAGAGGAGTCATTTCTAGGTGGATTTCTAGGTCAGCAGCCAACTCACATTTTTAAAAGTTAAATGTTTTAGGTTGAGAAGCTACATGACATATTAGAGTGTGGGATTAAGAGTCAGAAAATGTACATTTGATCCCCTACTAGCTATGTAACTGTGGGTACATCATATAAGGTAAATGCTTTGGAAACTATTAATTACTATTAAAAGGTTAAATTAGATCACAGGTAGCAAACTTACTGCCTGCTGCAAAATTCCCAAGTTTGTCCAGAACCTGATTAAAATGGAACAGGGAAGTGTTAACAAAATAAATTTTAAAAATGCAACATGAATAATGTTAATTTGTGGTTTTCTAAGTCAACATGTGACTGCAAGATCCATTTCTTTTTTTTTTTGCTTTAAAATCAAAATTTATTTTCATGTACCCGCATTTATAATCTATTCCTCTCATTACCACCCATCATGAAACAAAACAAAAAACAAAGTCTTCATCATTAATATGCATAACCTAGCAAAATAAATTCCCACATTGGGCATGTATTTTAAGGTCATCATTTCTCTGGCAGGAGGTAAGTAACATGTTTATCTTCAGTCTTTTGGACTAATTGTTTATCATTGCATTGACCACAGTTCTAAGGCTTCAAGGTTGTTTTGCTCTACAATGTTGTCATTAATCCTTCTCCTTGTTCCTCACTTCACTCTACCTTGGTTCATAGAGGTCTTCTTATTATATTATGTTGCTCTGCTAGTTCTTTCAACATAGGCTCAAAGCCCTTTACCACAATATAACATAATGTAGCATAACATAAAATAGTATAAACATAACGTAAATATAACGTGACCTAGTATTTCTATAGCTCTTTAAGGTTACAACATGCTTTCCAAATATAATCTTATTTTATCCTTACAACAAATCCTGGGAGGTAGGTGCTTATTATTATACTCATTTTACAAATGTGGAAACTGAGGCTAAGGGAAGTTAAGTGAGTTGCCCAAGTTTATATAGCTAATAATTATAAGAAGCAGGATTTGAACTCAGGTCTTCCTGATTCCAGGTGTTTGAGTTTAACATCACAGGTTTAGATGACTTCCAAAGTGCCCAAGTCTTCACCTATGATCCTATATAATTATGAGTTGTTATTATATAACCAATAATCTTAGTAATCTATTGTCATCAGGACTTGCTTTGTATGCTTGCTTTGATAGATTAGTTTCCCACAGTCTTCAAAGTGTAGAGTCTAATGTCCTCTAAATAGAACTTAATGGTAGATACCAGGGATAGGAATAGAATGAAAACCGCTAACAGAGGGCTTCCTAGACCAAATTCATTCTAATCCAACAAGAATCTATTAAGCACCTGCCTTGATTGAGGCACTTTAAGTACTGGGGATAAAAAGTGCTTCTCTCAGGGAGCTTACATCCTATCTAGGAGAACATTGAATATAACTAGAGATGTTTATATATAATAATTTGAGAAAAGATATCAAGAAATACTTGCCATAGGAGAAATTGGGCCATGAAGGAAGCTAAGCATCCTCAGAAGGAAAGAGATTACATTCCAGACACGGAGTGTGACCTGTACAAAGGCACACAGAGTAAAGAAAAGGAGTTCTGATTTCAGGTAACAGACAGAAGGAGTATAGAGTATGTGAAGCAGAGCAATATGAAATATGTCTGGAAAAGTTATCCTGATCCAGATTGTGAAGGAAATTAAATGCCAAGCTGAGATAGTATTATCTTTAAGGCAGTAGCAGACTGCTAGAGGTTCTTGAGTATAGGAGTGACATGGTCAGACATGTGCTTTAGGAAGATTATATTGGCAGCTATATGAAGGCTAGAGGAGAGAAAGGAGAAGCTGAAAGTCAGGAGTCCAATTAGGAAGCTGTTTGAGTAGTCCAGATGAAAGTAAGAAGAGCTCAGTCATCTAGGGTGGAAAGGAGACAAATTCAAAATGTGTTATAGCTATGGAACCAAGAAGACTTGGCAGTAGATTGAATATGAATGAAAAACATGAAATGAAGAGGGAAGATATGAGAATAATGCTGAAAAATGTGAATTTAGAGTGTCCAAAAGGATAGTGGTACCCTCAATTGAAATAGGCAAGGTAAAAAGAGAAATAATTATAATGGAAGAGAGGGTGAAGGGAGGAATAAGTTTGATTTTGGTTGTTAAGTATAATATGGCCATGGAATATTTATCTACTTTGAGCTTTATAGTAGTTGATGCAGGACTAGAGATCAGGAGATGGGGCTAAATATGTAGATCTGGGAGGCATCACATCTATGCTTAGGGGGCTTCATAAAAATTGTAAAGCAGGAGCAGCTAGATGGCACAGTGGATAGAACACAGGCCCTGGATTCAGGAAGACCTGAGTTCAAATCTGGCCTCAGACACTTGACACTTGGTAGCATGTGACCCTGGGCAAGTCACTTCACCCTATTGCCTCGCCAAAAAAAAAAGATTGTAAAGGAGACTGAAGAGAAGTCAGATGAATAGGAGAAGAAGCAAGAGAAAGGAATGTCCCTAAAACTTAAAGAATAGATAGTATACAGGATGAAAAGGTGGTTAAAAGTCAATCAATAAGCATTTATTAAGCACCTACTATTTATTAGTAATTGTGCTAAAAATGCTGGAGAGACAAAGACAGACAAAAGAAAGTCTCTGCTCTCAAGTATGATGGGACAGACAACTTAAAAACAAGGATGTACAAGCAAGATATATGTAGGATGAACTGGAGATTATCTCAGAGAGAAGGCACTAATATTGAGGGAAATAGAGAAAGGCTTCTTGCAAAAAGGAGGATTTTATCTGAGAAAAGGAAGCCAGAGAAGTCAGGAGGGAGAGAAGAGGAGAGAGAGGATTCTAGGCATGGAGAACAGTAACATTGTCGCATCCAGAGGAGTCAAGAAGGATGATGATTGAGACAGAACCAACAGACTGAGCAGTGAAGTAAATATTGCTAGTCTTGGAGAGAGCAGTTTGAGTCAAGTGGTGAGATCAAGAGACATATTAGAAAACATAATTATGTGGTTCAGCCAGTGGACACTATTACTGACTTCATCCAGTAATGGTCGGCAACATATATGTAGGATCAGAGAAGATAGCTAGCATGGTAACTCAGGGGTGGCATTTGACAAAATGTGGGTGTCAAAAGGCCAAGGGGACAGATGAAGTAAGCAGGGAGGACAATGTATGACTGAATTGTTTCTGTGGGATCAAGATTAGAAAGAGATCCCTAAAATCCAGATCTTAAATCTGTTGTTTTTTAAAATAGCATTTTTCCAATTATATGTAAAGACAATTTATAGCATTCATTGTTACAAAATTTTGAGTTCCAAACTTTTCTTCCTTCCTCCCTCCCCTCTTCCTAAAATGGTAAGCAATTTGGTATAGTTTATGTATGTACAATCATAGAAAACATGTTTCCATATCAGTCATAGTTGTGAAAGAAGAAACAGACCAAAAGAAAAAAAAACACAAAAAAAGTGAAAATAACATGCTTCGATCTGTATTCAGAGTCCATTAGTTCTTTCTCTGGATGTGGATGACATTTTCCATCATGGGTCCTTTGTATTTGTCTTGGATTGTTGTATTTCTGAGAAAAGCTGTCATTCATAGTTGATCATCACACAACATTTTTGTTACTGTGTACAATGTTCTCTTGGTTCTGCTCATTTCACTTTGCATCAGTTCATTAAATCTATGTTTTTATGACTAAATTAAAACCTTAGAGGACTCTCAAAAGCTATGCAATAGAAATAAAATAGTTGGCACTTCTATATGACAAGTCAAATATGTTATTTTGATAGGATTGACTTTCTCCTTGGTGTAGAGTCTTCTATCTCCCTATGTGAAATGAAAAAGAAAGCAAATGATTTAGCTCTGAGGGATAATTTGTCATGGTCTGATACATACACTTAGTGTAGAATGATTTTTGCTCTTCCTTTTAGGCTTCTGGATCAGCTGGGTGAAACCGAAGCTGCTTTTGACGAATTTTGGGTTAAGCATCAGCAGAAACTCGAGCAGTGTCTACAGCTGCGGAATTTTGAGCAGAATTTTCGAGAGGTGAGTGGCCACACACTCCAGTGAAACTTGAGGTGTGCTCCTAAATATTGCAGTTGTTGAGCAGTGATTGGTCACTAGAAGGCAGAATCCTCTAGATTTCTAGGTTTCCCATCCATAACTACATGCTTTGCCTCTTTACATCTTAGTAGGCAGTCTTCATGTACCCTCCCCATTCATACACACCAAAAAAATCATCCCTTGGTGGTCCACCTTCTGGTACTGACACGCTCCACACTTAGCTAGGCTGGTGGTTGCATGATAGATGCACAGTCCATTACTATGCCTTTAACTCCAAGTCTTTTTTGTAGGACCTGCCAGGGTTGGGCTCTGCTGATGTATCCTTCAAGAGCCCTGAAGAGGAAACAGAATAGGTCTTCAGTAGGAGAGTGGAATTAAAAAGAGCAAAACACCCTCCTGTAATACAAGATAGTGCCTAGTGTGATAAGGCTGCTGGAAAGGAATCTCAGGATTTAGAGGAGAGAAAGATCACATTTGACCAAATCAGAAAACCAAGGATGCCATATAAGTACATGTTATAGACAGTAAATGATTTAAGAGTTCTAAGGAGGAAATCGGTCTAAGTCAGAGTGACAAAGGAAGGATCTTTAAAAGAAGTGGGCTTAAGATGGGCCTTCAAAGCTAAATAGTAGTGGACAAATTTGCATAAGGCCTTAAAGCCAATTTTGAGTAAAAAAAAAATCAGTTTGATTTGGTGGAAAAAAGAGAACACTAGTGACTTTCAATCTTGTTACGTTTTGGTTGCCTTTTGGGGATATACTTATATAACATCTGTTCTAGAACTTGCTGTAACATATCAGCAATTTTATTTAATGAGGGAATACTCTTCATTTGTTGACATATAGAGTAGTAGAAGCCTAAATCCTGCAATTTGTGAGACTTCTCCAGGTGTGAAGCAGAAAGTAGCAAAAGGAGAAGATTATGAAGACTGATCTGGAAGTATTCTGAGCTTTCTCACTTACTAACTATGTGACCTTGATCAAGTCCTTTAACCTTTCTGGGCCTCAGTTTCCTCATCTGTAAAATAAGACAGTTGGACTAGATGCCATCTAAGGTCGTTTCCAGTTGTTCCTAAGCATCTATAACTGTAACCCAGAGTGTTCATTGATACAGATTCCAACCATCTACAGAAAACATAAGGTTAAGCAGCATCTTTAGGTGTCTTATATGACCAAAGACTAATGCACCAGAAACTCAGAATTCAATTCAATTCAGTGCCAAGCCCTGTAGATACAAAAACAGAAATGAAAGTTTTCTACCCTCAGGGAGTTTACAAAATTCCATGGGGAAGAATTAACATGTACAGATAATTCAGCGCAAAATATATACACAATGAATACAGAGCCATTTTGAGGGGAAGCACCAGTAGCTGAGGGGGAAAGGAGGGGTCAGGCAGTGCCTTGTGAAGGGGAAGGTTTTTGAGCTGATCTTTGAAGGGAGCCAGAAGTTCCAAGAGACTTCAGGGAAAAGGGGAAAGCAAATAGTCTCTCCCAGCATCCTTAATAAGTCCAAATGAAAACACAGAATGAAAACAAAAGTTGTTTAATTTGAAAGGAATGTGGGCCCAAGATTTTCATTTTAGCCCCTGATTTCATCCTTAGCTGTCTCATGAATCACTACGTTCTAGTGGCTAACTCTTGATTTTAGCAAGCTTCCCATGCTTATCCCTACTACCAAAAATGCTTAAGCATTAAAACGTCGAATCCCCCAGGGCTTAGAAGTGCTTAACAGCACTGCAGCAGGCTTTCATGCCTTTATCCCAAGAGAGTTTTTAAAACCCTGCCAACTCCTTCCTTTGTTCTGCAGGACTAGGCAGACCTCAGGGGACAACAAAATCACTTCTCTCAGCATTTTGGTATAGCTTCTTTGCTTGTAACCTTTTCTTGATAAAAATAAAAAATGAAATGAAAATTGAGTGAAGTAAAATGTAACCCAGGTTCTAAAATCAGCCTAGCTTTTCTGGTGATATGATGCAGTGAGACAGGTAGACGTGGGAATCAGAAGATCGAGGTTGTATGCTGGCTCAGCCCTTTTAGCGAGTCATGTGACTACAAATATGGCACCTCTCTCTTCTGTAAAACGAGAATGGTAATCATCCTTGTAATACCCGCCTCATAAGGTTGTTTTGAGGGAAGCACTTTCTAAATTGCTATGTAAATGCTCCCTTGGAGCAGAGTTATTACCGGGGCAATCACTCTACAACTATTTATTGAGCACCTTTATAGGTGCTTTATTGATATAAGGGTAGTAAATGGCAGTCAGGGTTTGAATGGACACCCTCGGACTCCAAATTCAGTTCTCTTTCTGGTGTACTCCACTCTGATTTTTAAAAAATTTTCCTATAATATATGAATGCACTGTATAGCCTTGGGTATATCACTTAACCTCAATTCATCATCTGTAAAAATGTTTTTTCTTGTTCAGTCATGTCTGGCTCTTCATGACTTCATTTGGATTTTCTTAGCAAAGACATTGGAGTGGTTTGCTATTTCCTCTCTAGCTTATTTTACAGATGAGGAAACTGAGGCAAACAGGGTTAAATGACTTGCCCTGGGTCACACAGCTAGTAAGTGTCAGAAGCCAAATTGGAACTCAGGAAGAGGAGTCTTCCTGACTTCAGGCTGGGTGCTCTATCTTCTTCACCAGCCTGCAGCACATAAGGCAGGTAAATTAAATGGCCTCAAAGGTCCCTTTCAATGTTAAATCTGTGATCTAAGTACAGTCCTCTGCAAATAGTATTAAATAAAAAGTCACTTTTTTGGCTAAATAATAAATTCTTATCTAACTTTCCTCAAGCAAGAATTTTTGAAAGATCCTACTCTCTGGCACTCTCACATTGCTAGCTTGACCTCTTTTCAGCTTGCTGATATACCACCAGGCAGACATAACTTCTTTGGGTTCTTTTTCTTTGCCCTGATCTCTGTGTTATATCTTAATTTTCCATAGAAAAATATGCTTTCATGTGATTACTCCAAAATGTGTTGATAGTAGTGAATGTCTCTCCACCCCAACCTTCGCTGACATTGACCTTGCTCTCTTTCTTCCCATCCACTCCCCATTCTCCTAGGTGAAAGCCATTTTAGATGTTGTATCAGAGAGGTTATCAACCTTTACGGATGTGGGAAATAGCTATGCTCATGTGGAACACATGCTCAAGGACCTTGCTAGCTTCGAAGAAAAATCCAATGTAAGTCATGCAACCTGTCAATTCCACAATTAACTTTTAATGTTTAAAGTGAAGGGCGGTGTCTAGTTAATGGAAAATGTTTCATTCTGGTGCCTAATGTCCAAAGTTCACTTTGGAGAGACAGAGGCTGCCTATGACACAGTCATTTGGGTTTTATGTTGGGTTTATGTTTCTACAATGGCACATTCAGATTTTATAACTTAAAGTATTATTATAACTATTTTATAATTATTATAAATATAATTATTTTATCATTTAAGTCCATCTTGCCAGAGGGACTCTGAATAAGATAGAAAATGGCTTGCTGTAAGGATTCTCCATCTACCTGGATTCTCCATCTTTTCAATGCTATATGAATTAGCAGTGTAAAAACTTAACAGTGCCATGTTGCCACCTCTTAGCTTTCCTGAATACAAATGTTCAGTGGGCTACTGATTTTTTCAAAAGTTCTACTTTTTGCCATATAGATTCCCTTTGTTTTGCTCTCAGAGCTGTGGCATTGTGTGTGTGTGTATGTGTGTGTGTTAAATAATTTTGTACTGATGCATTTAAAATTTTTCTTTATAAAGTGCTGAATGAGAAAAAAAGAAGTTCCACCAGGACAGTTTGGAAATACCCCAAATGAGTGAACTTTTGAGGTTGTTGTTGTTTTAGCCTTTCCCATCATGTAAACTAGTTTGCTCCTAGCTGGCTACATGAATTGGATAGTATTGCTCATAATCACAGCAATAAGCAAAGAAAAATGTCATCCACATACATCTTGGCCAACAACATCCCAATTACAGTGCTTTGCCTTTGCCCTGAAAATAGCTTCCCAAGTTGTATATAACCCAAATAAGCTCCAATTGATTTTTTGGTCATGTCTTCCTTTTTCAGGAAGCTGTAGAGAAGGCTAGGGCCTTATCATTGGAAGGTAACCAGCTGATCCAAAGCAAGCATTATGCTGTGGACTCCATCTTGCCAAAGTGCAATGAACTCCAGCACCTCTGTGATGAATTCACAGCTGAGATGAGTAGAAGGAGGAATCTTCTCCAACAGTCATTGGAGCTCCATAGCCTTCTTGAAAAGGTATGTTGGGAAATGAAAGCCCACACCCCCAATTTTTTTTTTTTTTTGCTTTTTGGCTAGGCAATAGGGTTAAGTGATTTGCCCAGAGTCACACAGCTAGTAAGTGTCAAGTGCCTGAGGCCAAATTTGAACTCAGGTCCTCCTGTCTCCAAGGCTGGAGTTCTATCCACTGAACCACCTAGCTGCCCCTGCCCAATTTCTTTTCTTTCTCATCTGAGTGGTATCAATAATATTTCTTTGAGGATGGCATCATACCCAGGCTTCCTTGTAGTTCTTTATTTTTCTCTTAGGATCTAGCAAGCATGTGTTGGTATATTTTACATTTGTATAATTTAGTTGTGTGTGTTCGTGAAATCTGGTTGTGGCACCTGATCCACCATGCTGACCTTTTATGCTGCCTGCTATTTGGGTTTACAATTTTTTTTTTATTAGAATATAACACTGAACTGTGTGACCCTGGGCAAGTCACTTAACCCCAACTGCCTCACCAAAAAACAAAAAAAAACAAAAAAAAAAAACATAACACTGAAGAAAAGCCACTTGATTTCAAAATAGGATTTTCCATCCTGGGGGACATGTAGGATATAGTGGCAAAAGTATAATGATTCAGTGTTTTGGGTCATATTTCTAAAACTAATACATTCCATGGCTATGTGTTCATTATCAGTTGCTTTCAGCAGAAAATATGCATTAGAAATGACAAATTTCATGCACCTTCCAGTGCGATTCACTGAAATCTTCTTTTCTTTTCCCTCTCTTTTGTTTTATGTGTCTAGTCTATGAAATGGTGTGATGAAGGTATTTACCTGCTAGCTTCCCAGCCCGTAGACAAATGCCAGTCCCAGGATGGAGCTGAGTCAGCCCTACAAGAAATCGAGAAGTTTTTAGACACTGGTGCAAAAAACAAAATCCAGGAGCTAAATAAAGTTTACAAAGAATATGAATCTATTCTCAATCCAGATCTGAAGGTAATATTAACATGTGACCATGGGCAGAATAATTTTTTGTGAGTGGTTATTTTCATAATTTGTAAATTTTTTTTTATCCTACTGAGTACCTAATAGAGATTTCCTAACTTTTACTGTTTTAAAAATTAATTGCATTAATTTTAAAATTCTGAACTTAAACACTACAAAAAGGATTTTTGTACATATGTCAGAACCCCAAAAAAGTATTCAATATGAAATTGTTGATCTCCCCTTCACACTGCTTGATACAGATATATGTGTATATACATATATGAAATAAATCATACCCATTACTTTTAAAAATGTTCTATTTTTTAGACTTTGGTTTTTTTAAGAGACTTCAGATGTTATCAAATCCAATCTTCCTCTCAATGGATGACTATCATCTACAACATCTCTGATAGATGACCATCTTATCTTGGCTCTGGTTGAATGTTTCAAGTCATGGGAAGCTCACTACTTTGTAAATTCCTCTCATCCTATTCTTGGTCAGCTCTACTTAGAAAACAGTTATTCCTTATGTTCATTCAAAATCTGCCTCACAACAACTTCTCCCAGTTGAACCTGGTTCTACTCTCTAACTTCAGCATAGAATACACCTACCTCTCCTCTTCATAAAAGCCCTTTAGATATTTGAAGGCAGTTTGTTTTTGCCCTCAGTCTTCTTCTTCAGGATGAATAATATGCAGTTATCAACCTGTCATCACACAACATCATTTCCAGACTTCTCCCTCTCTTGACCACAATCCTTTATGTACACCCGGGTCATCAATGTTCCTGTTCAGGTACATCACCCTGAACTGAGTCACAGGAGTTCTTACACCACTGTTAATAAAAATGTTTAAAAATACAACTTCTAAGGAGTTTATTTTGGGGCGACTATTCTGCTTTTATGACTTAGTTGTAGTTTCTTTTTTCCATTTAATGAGACATTAATCCTTAGAATTAATCGTTAGAAGCATGATCAAGGAGTTCATAATTGGTATACTGTCATTTTAGGAGCATGTACAAAAGGTCTTTCAGAAACAAGAGAGCATGGAAGAAATGTTCCAGAAGAGACAGGTGAGCCTGAAGAAATTGGCCGCAAAGCAGACTCGGCCAGTGCAGCCGGTGGCACCAAGACCTGAAGCATTTACAAAATCCCCCTGCCCTTCTCCAGGTAAACTATATAAGTAGTGTTCATTCATTCAAAGTGTACTGAATCCCCAGTGTTGCCTGAGGTGTGTTGGGATGCATGTGAGATAACAGGGAACAACATAAGACAAAATAGAAGCACTAGCCTCTAGTGCCTGTCCCCTCTTTTCTTTTGCTACTGACACTTATTTCAAGTCAGTCAACAAGCATTTACTAAGCACCTACTATGTGCCAGGTACTATACTAAGCATTGGGGATACAAAGAAAGGCCAAAGACAGTCTCTGCTCCCAAGAAGCTAACAGTCTAATGGGGGGGGGGGGGATCAGTATGTAAATACATATGTACAAACAAGATATGTACAGGGCAAACTGGGAGTAGTCAGTCAATAAATATTTATTAAGTACATACTCTGTGCTAAGTGCTGGAGTTTTAAAAAAAGAAAACATATAAGACAGTCCAGAACTCACAATCTAGTAGAGACAGCATGAAAACAATTATGTACAAAGAAAATAGATATAGGATAAATTGGAGATAATTAGCAGAGGGAAGACACTAACGTCTGAAGGGAATGGAAAAGTCTTCTTGCCAAAGGTGGGAGTTTAGCAGAAGCTTGAAAGGTACCAAGAAAATCCAGAGGAAGAGATGAGGAGGGAGGGAACTCCAGGCAGTGGGGAATGGGGGTGGGGGCATGCACAATCAATGATGTCCAGAGTCAGAGTTGGAGAGATCTTCATTATCTCTTCCTTGGACTGTTATAATCGAAGCCTCACTGGTCCCCTCCACCCTGGTTCTTCTCTCCTCCCAATATGTTCTGTTGAATCCCTTTTAGATCAATCTATCCAAAATACAAGTTGGATCTTATTTGTGTAAATGGTTCCCCATGCCTACCAAAGAAGACCCACACTCCTTCACCTAACATTCGAAGCTATCTGCATCTTAACTCCAGCCTATGTTCCCATTACTCCTTTACTTACACTCTATACTACAGCCGACCACTCATCATATCCACATCTACCTCCTAAGGTTTCCCACTTCCTTTCCTTTGCTGCTGCTCTTCTCTGCATTGGAAATGGTTTCTTTCTTAGTTTCACAATGTGAAATCATGCCCATCTTTCAAAACTAAGCTGAGATGCTCCCTCCTCCATGAAGCATTCTCTGATCCCTAACTGGAAGTCATTTCTTGTCTAAGCTCTCTCCACACTGTTGTATTACCTTTTATAGCATACCCCATAATGATACTTCTAGTGACCAGGATCTGGTTTCCCTTTTCCTAGACGCAACATCATTCACAGTCTCTCACCACAGCCAATCAGCCAGCATTTATTATGCACTTACTATGTTCCAGGCACTGAGCTTGGATTCTAGGGATTCAAAGAAAGCCACAAACAGTCCCTTTTTTCAAGGACCTCACATTTTAATGGGGGAAACAATATGCAAACTACTATGGACAAACAAAAGATAAATACAGGATAAATTAGGAGTAATCAGCTGAGGAAATATATCAAACTCACAGGCTTCGGCTATAGCTTCATTTTTCTGGGATGAGTTTATCTTGACCAAAGAGAGAGGGAAGGAGTGAAAGACATTCACTCCCATCCATACCCATTGAATCCATCCTTTCTTTGCCCCAGATGCCCTGATGGGAAGTAAGCCAACGACCTAAAGGCACCCAGGAACCTTCCTTCCCTACCATGCCCAAGACAGATGAAGAGCCAGCCCTGGTTTAGAGGTCTCAGAAGGAATCTGACTTTTCTCTCTTGTCAGTAATGATTGAGGGATGGTCTGCTGTAGCTCCCAGATGCACAGATCTTCAATCAGTGGTAACATTGGCTTAGACAGCAAGAAAATAGGAACAGCAAGGACATGGGTGTTTCTGGTTCACAGAGTATGTTGGAGGTGTAGGAAGACTGACTGGAAAGGTAGGCAGGGTCCAGGTTGTAAAGGTAGGCAAAAGAGAAAGGCCAGAGGATCTTACCTAATCGAAACTCTCCAACCAAAGGCATGCTGTGCTTCAGACATTATTTTTTCATACCAGGTCTTCGAAGAGGTTCTGAGAACTCATCCGAAGGCAATGTGGCAAGAAGAGGAAACTACAGAAGAGCAAAGGTAGTGCATGATGACTTTCCCTCAAAATTCTTTTTCTCTGCCATGTGCTGGTTCCTGACTTCCCTAGCTCCCACTCTCCCTATGTGTGTGTCTTCCCTTAGCAGAATATAAACTCCTTGAAGGCAAGAACTGATATTTGTGTGTTCCTAGGGCTTATCACACTACTCAGTACATAGTAATGGCTTTTCATTCGTTCATCCTCAAATCCTTTTATCTAGAAGTTGGTCTGCCCTGGAACTTCCTAATAAACTAGGTAATTATCATAAATAATAAGAAGGCAGCCCCACTGATCTTTGTATTTCCCTTACTTCAAGAAATTTCTTTTGCATTGTTGAAGTTTCTGGGTCCTTTTGATCTCCATCCAGTCCAGTCCAAGGAGCAATCTATAAATGTTATAAAACCACAATAATCCCTCCTCTTTTTTTTAGATAATAGTCACATCTAAGAACCTGTAGTCAAGGCTATCAGTCATCTGAATGTTTAGCCAACTTGCAATGAGATGCCTGTCTACTGGCTAATGGTTTATTCTTCTCACTCTATTTAAGTAAGGACAGCACTAACAGTATTCCAGATTTAACCATTTGGGGGGAAGAACAGGTACATAATAGTGAACCATAGGCTCTGGTGCTGTTAAAAAAAAAAAGGCAAGAAAACCAAAAGGCAATATGAAAGCCCTGGTTAAGTATCCTTTTTGGTTTTAACTTGATGTCGTTCCAGTGCCTATAGAGTGCCTGGCACATAGTAGGCACTTTATAAATCCTTACTGGTTGATTGTTTCTTCTGCTTCAGAATGAAATGAGTGATATCCAACAGGGCAGAAGTGGCTCAGTGATGGATGATGAAGAAAATCTGGCAATATTGCGAAGGTGGGTTTTGTCTCAGTCAGTACTGATTATCTCCAAGTGGTTCAGGGCAAGGCAGGTAATATCCAGCCAGATCATAGCCTTGGTCCCAGCAGAATTTCTTAATTGCACTAAGCTGCTGAATCAAAAGAGCGTTAAGATCTAGGTCTCTGAAGAGGGCTGACAAAATTTGGAGGCTAGTGTGGAAACAGAATACAGACAACTAAAATGGAGACTCAGAGCTGAGGTCTTACCCAATGGCTGACCAAACTAAAAAGACAGTAGAAAAAATGCCACTTTGTTACTCAATTCTGATAAGCAGACTGTTGTCTGGGACCCTTGATTAGAAAATTGCTTTGCTTCTGCAACTTCTATATCTGTAATTTCCTTCCTATTTCTTCAACATTGATGTATATCCTTTGACTAATTCGGCAGTTTATCCATTCTCCAGCTTGTTGTTACTATATTTGGCCAGACATCAAATCAATCTCTGGAAGGAAATATCTTGGGATTGAAACTACCCTAAGATTTAGCACTAAGAGGAAGCTCTTTCTGAAAAAGCCTGTGGTAAAGAATGGATCAGTGGATGAAGGAATGTGCTTTTGCAGAAGTCAGTTATATATCCCATGAGGACTTTCTTCAAACAGTGTACAATGGAGAGAATTTCCAAGGATCAGATACAGTTCTACCAGACCCTGAGGGGAAAGAAGCCTAAATTAACAAGGGGCTTATTGGCATTCTCCCATAAGGCATATAGTAATCGTATTCAATCCTTAATAATTTACAGATCTGCCGAGTTGACCTTGCCCCACTGGGTTTTAAAGTTGAGTCTTGAGCCATAATCTTCATTGTAGGCCTATAGGAACAGTTGGAGAAACCTCCAAAAATCAAAGAAGACTTTTTCTGTCACTACATTTCTAATTGAGCAAAGGTCATAGATTAAAAGCTAGAGATATCTCAGAAGTGAAGTCCAACTCCCTTATTTACGGAGGAGGAAGCCCCAGAGAGGTTGTGACTTACCCAGGGACTCACAGGTAATAATTTGGAAAGCTGGGATTTGAACCCTGGTCCTCTGATTCCAAATGCAACATTCCTTCCACTGGACCATGCTGTTTCTGTATCCTTATGATGGGATGGCGTGAAAGCAAAAGACTCCTCAGTTATCCCCTTGAAATTAAAAAATGGGAAGATTCCACAGATCTCCAAGGTTTGGGAGTCAGTCATTCACACCATCCCTCCCGACAACTGCCTCCTCACAATATGGAAACCTAGAACATTAAGAACTATGTGCCTCAGGGGTCTCCTGCTATTTAGGTGTAAGGTAATCAGGGGCCTCCCACCTTTAGTCCTCAGACAACAACTGTCTTGTATGTATTTTTGTTTTTTGGTTTTTTTTGGTGAGGCAATCAGGGTTAAATGACTTGCCCAGGGTCACATAGCTAGTAAGTGTCAAGTGTCTGAGACCAGATTTGAACTCAGGTCCTCCTGACTCTAAGGCCAGTGTTCTATCCACTGCGCCACCTAGCTGCCCCTCTTGTATGTATTTTTAAAGGACATTCTATAAGGAGTTAACATTTTTCCTTGTTTCCAGGCATGTAATGAATGAGCTTATTGAAACAGAGAGAGCATATGTGGAAGAACTGCTCTGTGTCCTTGAGGTAAGCATATGCATTATGTAATTATGTATAGCAGTGTCCAAGAGTTGAGCGGGACTTAGAATTTTACATAGTGAAAATACCTTCTTTTTATTTATTTAATTAATTATTTATTTATTTTATTTATTAGTTTAGTTAGTATTTATTAGTTTTATCTTTCTGAGTTAAGAAATTTTGGAAATGGTTCATATTCTGTGTTCTTACAGTCAAATTTGTACCTCCAGGGTCACTCATAGATAAATGTAATGTGTGTTAGCTTTAAAAAAAAAATACACCAGGCATGGTGGCACATGCTCTCCTGACCAATTGTTTGAGCTCAGAAGATCAGAGCTGCAGAAGGGCTAAACCAATCAGGTGTCCATACTAAGTCTGGCACCAATATGGCGAGCCCTCTGGAAGTGAGGGACCACCAGGCTACCTAAGGAGTGGCTCACTGGCCAAGGCAGGAGATTTGAATTACTTTTTATTCCCCCATCGCCACTTCCAGGATCTCTTCCCTACCTTCATCACTCAGTAACCCCTCCTCCTTGGAGGTTCATGCCATTCATATCTATCCCAATTAAATCCTGATAACTGTTGTTTACAGACCCCCCCCAGGTCACTCCCCTTCCTTCCTCAATGAGTTCAGTACTTGGCTCACAGTTTTTGTCTCCTCCCCAACTCCTGCCTTCATGCTAGGGGACTTCAACGTACATATTGACTCTCCCTCAAACATCCAAGACAGTTTCTTAACCTACTTACTTTCCATGACCTTTAGCCACACAATAATCTTGCCATTACCCACAAATGCCTGGAATACTCTCCCTCTTTATCTTCTTTGCTTACTGCTTTCCCTGGCTTCCTCTAAGTCTCAAATAAAATCCCATCTACAGAAAGCCTTTCTCAGTCTCTCTTAATCCCAGTGCTTTCCCTCTCTTAATCATTTCCTATTTATTCTGTATATAGTTTTTTTTGTACACATTTGTTTTCTTATTGTCAGCTCCACGAGGGCAAGGCCTGTCTTTTGCTTCTTTTTATATGCCCATCGCTTAGCATAATGCCTTAGCATAATGCATTTCTAGCCTGGGTAAACAAGGGAGACCCAATATCAAAAATAAAACAGAAAGCACACAAAATAAAATACCACATTATGTTAACTCTTTGTTGCCCATCTATATACATACCCCTCAAATGACTTTGCACAGTTATCCTGAGATTTATGTTGACCTCTGTTTGCCAGTTGAATTTCATGAGTCAGACAATAACTAGAAAACTAAAAGTCACTCACCTGCCTCTTTCTTCACTGTAGGGATATGCTGCAGAGATGGATAATCCTCTAATGATGCATCTCATTTCATCAGCCCTCCAAAATAAGAAAGATGTCCTATTTGGGAATATGGAGGAGATTTATCACTTCCATAACAGGTTAGGGGCATTGTTCTTCTGTGTTTGAGAAAGTACGTTTGTCTCATCTTCTCCTTAAAGTAAGTGATGTATCTTAATGTCCTGCTCCATTAAAAGAGTTTGAAGTTCAGATCAACTACCCTGGATTATGTCATGTGCTGATTTTTAAAATTATATATTGTTTTCTGTTAAGAGATGATATTACAAGGTTACAGAACCTAGTAATGGATCCTAGAACTCTGCACATCTATTTTGAAACATACAGCCAGCTAGTAATGATTAAAATTCAAAGATGGTTATAAATGTGATATGAAAATCTAAGAGGGCAAGCACATTCTCTTGGTTGTTGAATGCCCAAGTGAAGACATTCCCCTTGGGCAGGGATGGGGGACCTGCAGCTTTGAGGCTACATATGGCCCTCTAGGTCCTCAAGTGCGGCCCTTTGACTGAATCCAAACTTCACAGAACAAAATCCCCAAAATAATTTGTCCTTTGGGGGCAGCTAGATGGCGCAGAGTATAGAGCACCAGCCCTGGAATCAAGAGGACCTGAGTTCAAATATGGCCTCAGACACTTATTAGCTGTGTAACCCTGGGCAAGTCACTTAACCCCAATGGCCTTAAAAAAAAAAAGAATTTGTTCTATGAAGTTTGGATTTGGTCAAAGGGCTGCACTTAAGAACATAGAGGGTCACATGTGGCCTCAAGGCTTCAGGTTCCCCACCCCTGCCCTTGGGTATAAATGATTGGTAGGATGGAGACTCCAGTGGACTTGTCTTATGTCTTGAGAAGATGAAGCCATGTCACCACTAAACCAAGCTGGCAGTGCACTGAGATGGGACCTGTCTTTCCCTAAGTCATTGCCCTTCCTATCTTGTCGGTAAGCAGAAATCCTCTCTCTCATCAGCCTCCCAGTTTGGCACTTTGGGGAGGCATCCAGTGTTAACAGTAACATTATCTGTCAGTATCTTTGTTTTTGACCTTCATGACACACAGATCAAGGACCATCTGTTTTCCTGGGCATGGCTGAAGGAGAGCAAGTTAATGTGGGAAGTTTATTGCTTTTCTTTTTTTGTCCTCCCAAGGCTGGGTGCGGGATATTTGTTCTGAGATGTTCATTTTTGTCTGTTCCAGGCTTGTGAGGAGTAGTGTGGATAATTTCTTCGGAGTTCCCCATCATAGGGGCATAATCCATATTTCCATATCCTCCTTCAGGGGGCAAGGAAAGGGTAGTTCAAAATAGAGATTCCATTGATAATAAGCAGGGGAAAAATTAATTGGAAATGACTTTATTCTGTATAAAGAAAAGGAAAAACGAATCATAGTTGAACCTTCCCCAGGCATCAGCTGAAGGAGATCGATGCCCCACCTTGGGACTTGGGAAGTCCAACAGACCCTGGGAATCTACATTACCCACCCTTCTCTAATATTTGGGAGGAGAGCTTTAAGGGAGTTTGGGGCTCTCTGTTTCTTCACATGCCTTTTCCCCTTCTGTCATCTGTATCTCCCACCCCACCCAATTATAAAGGAAGCGATCTGTAAGCAGTTGAACCCGGTCCCGGATATTCTATTTTCCAAGGTCACAGGGCACTTCATGTCACAGAAGGTAAACCAAATGAATATGTTCCAGTAGACTCAGCCCACTCCTTGTTTCAGCCATTGGTCACTTCATAGATTCTGAGTATGCAGAAGTCACTGCTATATTTTAAATTATGACAATAAAGTTAATGGATTGGTTTTTTTTCCACATGAAGCTGAAACATGCCCTCTGATTACAGACTAACAGACACTTCAAAATATAGCTAAGGGACATGAAAAAAGAGTCAAAGATACATTTCTAGATGTGAATATGTATTGGATTAAGGTGGAGGCAGTGGAATAGTATGAAAAAAAATTGACCTGAGACCCAAGTTCAAGTTCTGCATTGGGCAATAACTACCTGTAAAGGAAGGAAGAAGGGAAGGAAGGAATATAGGTTGGTTTATTAAGCGCCTACTATGGGCCAGGTACTAGGCTAAGTGCTTTACAAATATTATCTCATTTGAGCCTTACAACACGCCTTCAAGATAGGTGCCATTATTATTCCTATTTTACAGTTGAGGAAACAATGACTTGCCCAAGGTCACACAGCTAGTAAGTGTCTGAGGCTATATTTGTACTCAAGTCTACTGACTCCAGAGCCAGCACTCTATCCACTGTACAACCTGGCTGCCTCCAATTTGATCTGGTGGTATAACCTTAGACAAGGTAGGGAGGTTGCATGATACAATTCACTGATTCCCATTAGTGCTTCTTGGACCCCTTGGGGGGTGGGGGTAGGGCATCTAGGTGGCACCGTGGATAGAGTGCTGGCCCTGGAGTCAGGAATACTAAGTTAAGACTAAGTTCAAATCTGGCCTCAGACACTTAGTAACTGTGTGACCCTAAATAAGTCACTTAACCTTGTTTGCCTCAGTTTCCTCATCTGTAAAATGAGCTGGAGAAAGAAATGGCAAACCATTCCAGTAGCTTTGCCAAGAAAACCCCAAATGGGGTCAGAAAGAATCAGATGCAACTGAAAACAACTGAACAACAACATGAGTGATAATATGTTAAATTGCCCTTGGGGTTTATATTACATTTTTTTTTGTTAAAAGGAGTTTGTAGAACAAAAAAGTTGGAAACCACTGGTGTAGAGAAAAGGTCAAAGTATTTGGAGTTAGAAAACCTGAGTTTGAATCCCATCTCTTATTTACTTATCTGTATGACTTTAGTCAAGTAACTTAACTTTATGAGCCTCAGAATCCTCATCCGTAAAATGAAGGAGGTTAGACTATGTCAATCCCAAAGTCCCTTCCAGTTCTCAATCCTATGATACAAACAAAGCCTGTCTCTCTGTCTGCATGAGGGGATTGGCTTGGATGATTCTCGAGCAATCAACTTCTATGATTGTAAATTTTCTTTCAACCACATTTATAAAGTAAAGAAGCCCTATTTTATTTTAAAGAAAACTTTGCATGTCAACTAGAAATATATTAAGGGGGATCCAGAGTGTGACTCATTTCTTTAGCCTACAAGTTTTACCTATGAACTGAAAAAAAAATTGGACCCCTGGTTACTCAAGTCAGATGAGATTGCTTACCTTAATCTATTTCTGTAACTATTTTTTTTTTAACTATAGAAATCTCAATGATTTTTCAAGGGTGGAGGGATAGAAAAAGTCTTGTGGGAAAGAATATTTATTGGAAATAGTTTCCTTTTTAGATTCTTTTTTTCTTTCATAAAATCTAATAAAAACTTCCTCTGTTTAGAATATTCCTGAGAGAACTTGAAAACTACATAGACTACCCAGAACTGGTAGGAAGGTGTTTTCTAGAAAGGGTATGTATGTGTTATAAACCAATAACAACAGATATGCTACTTCACACTGTGTTTTTTAACCTTTAGTTTCTGGTTAAAATGACTAAATCACGATGATCTTAATCTCCATTGTTTTCATCACTCTTATCAGATAATTTGTAAGTCTGGTGAAAATGACCCTTCAAAGCTCACTTAAAAAAAATTGGATGGGATAAAAATAATACTCTTATCTCATTTGAACTGAACTGTCAACCTGTTGTGTCATTCTTTATAAGCAACTTATTTTGTTAAAAAGGAAACTTATTAATTTGCTGCAAATTTTGCTGCAATTGAGCAGTTTCTAGAAAAGAAAGTAATCAATGGTCAAAATAAAAAAATTGTCAAGAGGCTAGGATGAGGTGGGAATGTTAATCAGTTGGCCCAGTCCAGTTGCTTGAAAGCTCTTGGTTATATTTCGAGGATGAAAAAAATCCTTTGCTGAAAGAAAGAGAGAGAGAGAGAGAAAAGAAGAGAAGAGAATATGTTGCTACTCTTGAAATGTGTAAACCTTTGGAGAGCTGATAATTAATTTTTTTTTTAATTAAATGGTCGCTCTGCAAGTTTGTTTTTAAACCTTGCCTAAGGCAAAAAAAAAAAGGCCAGATCCATTGAGCTAAATTCATGTAAGGAAAGGGGTATTTTGACTACAAACACAAGACTGAAACAGGCTAGTGAACAAAGTTATCACATGACTTCCTTATTAATGAACTAGTAGGTCATATATTGGTTGGGGTGATCTGGAATTAAAAGACCCATGCCAGACCAAGATTAAAATAGAACTTCCTGGAAGTATGGGACGAACTGCCTCACTACATTTTACTAAGAAGCAGGCCAGTGGAGTCCGAAGACCTAGGTTCAAATCCTACCTCAGATACTATGTGACTCTGAGCAAGTCACTTAATTTCTTTGTGCCTTTGTCTCCCCTCCTTTTAGCTCTAAACCTATGATCCATATCATCCCATGTTAATAGTGTGTATGAACCTCATTAAATCCAGGCAAACTTATCTCAGGCTCCATATAGGCTGCTAATATTTGATAGTAGATTTGTCATCAACCAGATTTAGATAGCAAGGAAGCCATCTGGCAAAAGTGTTTTCCAAGCACCAGTCCTATCTTCCTGTTTGCCTTCTCAGCTAACGGTTAATGAGAAATATTATATTTTGATTGTCTTGTTAAAAAAAATGGGATTTTTACAGGTACCTCACTCCCCCAGATATAATTTTAGAGAATATCAACTGTTGTCATGGGTCAATTCAAAAGGATTAAAAAAAAAAAAACAAAACCACCGTGCTCCAACATACTACAGTTTTATCAATAATACAGATCATTGCCAGTGTGGAAAAAAGCCAGAGACTCTGTTGGAACATGATCTGTCTTGTGCCCTTTAACTGATTAAACTGATTTTTTTTTTTATTCCTAACACAGATGGAAGATTTTCAGATTTATGAGAAGTATTGTCAAAATAAACCCAGGTCAGAAAGTCTCTGGAGGCAGTGCTCAGACTGTGTCTTTTTTCAGGTATATTTCCATACGATTCTTTGGGTTCATTTCAAGTACTGACCTAATTGGTCACTAAAATATCCATAATGAACATCGTGTAATCCAGGGTTTTCGACTTAATCACAGGAATGCCAGAGGAAACTTGATCACAAACTCAGTTTGGATTCCTATTTGCTGAAGCCTGTGCAAAGAATAACCAAGTATCAGCTATTATTAAAGGTAGGAATGATGTTCAAATGGTGTTTTTTTTAGCAGTGTCCAATTTTTTACTTGTTGTTGTTGTTTGTTTGCTAAAACCTTAATGGAAGAAAATACCCAAAATGATTAATAAGAACCAGAATAATTTAAGCTATAGGCTTATCTTTGGCACAAATGTGACCAGCCACTCAATGCTAGTCTAATATACAGAGAAAGTCATAGCCACCAGCCATAATGTTACTCCAGGGGGTATTAAAACTTTCCTGAAGAAAAAGGACATGTGGCTTCCTGAAACTTCCATACTGATAGTGAAAGTACCCTGTATTCTGAAGGTCCCTACTTATGCCCCATGAACACCCTTAGCAGAGATTTTCTCATCTAGTAAGGACTTGAGATGAATGGAAGTTAAGCTAGGTGAATTTTGATAAGAGAAACAAAGAGTGAAATGCTCAGAATTTGAGACATTCTACACAATAATAGCAGATCCAGAGGGGTAGCTGGACAATCAGGAGGTATTAAACAATAGGTTAAAAAAAAAAAAAAGCAATAGGTTAGGGAAGGAGTTGAATTGCCTAAATGGGATCAGGAAGGGAACATTGAAGACTTAGCTTAGTAAGTTTGGTTTTTTTTTATCAAAATCCTGTGTCTGTTTCATGGAATTACATTCAAACTTGCCCAATTTAAGTACTATTCAGAAGTAATTTCCAAAAATGTCATTAATGACATTTTTGATCTTTCTTTCATTAGTGTTCCATTCTGAGGAGCTAATTAGGTAGTAGCATTCTGTACTCTAGTGCAAAAATGTCAAGAATATATATGCACTTTGTGTGTGAGGGAAAGATAATATATGTATTGCACCCCAACCCAACAAGCACTTAAGTGACTGGTATGGGCAAGACCCTTTACGAGGTGATAGAGCTATAAAGACAAAATAAAACATCCTCCATGTCCTCAAAGCATTTCCATTCTACCAGACAGATACATAGATAAATACATACGTGATAATTTGAGGAGGTAGAGAACAGTAGTAAGCAAGGGGCTTCTGGAAAGGCTTCTTCTTGGGAGAGAACTCATGAACTGAACCTTGGATGAAACTCAAGATTCTACAAAGCAGTGGTGCCATGTTTGTCTAGGCACAAGACGCCCTCCTAATGATTCTAAGAGTCACTTTGGGAAGCACCATAAGGAGAGTCTGAATAGTATTCATCAGAGCACAAGATTTTGGCCTTTTTTTTTTGCAAGCATTTGGGTGTACATTTCCCAAAGATACTGATATGATATGTTTTTGGTGATGGTTGCATAACCTTAAGAACATTTATTCCTTGCAGATCAAAGCATATTCTTTGCTCTTTTTTTGGTCCTGTTTTTTGTTTCTTCTTTCTTGTGGTTCCTCCTATTGGTTCTAGTTCTTCTTTACAACATAACTAATGTGAAAATATGAGAATAATAGGAATATTATAATCGAATATATTATATTCCTATATTATTATATAGGAATAATATAGGAATAATAGGAATGTATATGTAGAACCTATATCAGATTGCACACCATCTTGAGGAGGGAGGGGGAGAAAATCTAAAACTCAGAAGCTTATGGAAGTGATTGTTGAAAATGAAAAAAAATTAATTTTTTTTAAAAAAGAACATTTATCCTTGTTCACCCTGCCCTTCAGGAAATGCTGAAATATAGTAAAAACTGTGAAGGAGCCAAGGATCTACAGGAGGCATTGACTTCTATCCTTGGAATTCTCAAAGCTGTCAATGATTCCATGCACCTGATTGCCATCACTGGCTATGATGTAAGTAACATCATTTAAGTGGAAGGCATTCTCATTGAAGAACTCAACCCAATCCCTGTCAAAGGGTACAGCCACTTACTTTCCTTCAGTGCTCTCATCAGTTTATAATCTATAATAATACAATGTATTATATATAATATAATAACTTAATAAGCATGCAGAGTTTTGTTTAAAGTGAAAGGAAGCCATACTTCAGAAGTCCCAAGTGAATGTTCCCCTCTATCTCTCACATGCTAGGCTAGTTATGGCAGTCATAGAAACTTACTTCTATATGCTATGATTCACATACTATGTGAGAGGTAGCATGGGATGTGAATCGAAAGCTGCCCTAAAAGCCAGAAAGACTTGGGTTCCAGTCCTACCTCTGATATAAACTGGCTGTGTGACCTTTGACAAGTTACTGAACTTCTGAAAGCTCTAGGCCAGTGGAATCAAACTCAAATAGAAAGGGAGATCCCCACCAGTGACATACTAACTTAGTTTTAAAATGTGATGTTGTCTAGCAACTAGATGGCATAGTGGATCCAGTGCCAGGCCTGGAGTCAGGAAGATTCATCTTCCTGAGTACAAATCTGGCCTCAGCCACTTCCTAGCTGTGTGACCCTGGGCAAGTCACTTAACCTTGTTTGCCTCAATTTCTTCATCTATAAAATGAGCTGGAGAAAGAAATGGCAAACCACTGCAGTATCCAGTATCTAAGCACTTTGCAATTATTGTCTTGTTCGATCCTCATAATAACCTTGGGGGGGTAGGTGCTATTATTATCCCCATTTTACAGATGAAGAAATTGAGACAAGCAGGGGTGAAGTGAGTTACCCAGGGTCACATAGCTAGTAAATGTCTAAGGTTGGATTTGAACTCAGGTCTTCCAGATTCCAGGCCCAACACTTCATCTACTCCACAGTTTCATGCCTATAATTTTTTTAAATGTAATTAACATGTTTTCTCCTCTCTCTCTCTTTCAAGGGAAATTTAAATGAATTAGGCAAGCTCTTGATGCAAGGTTCCTTTAGTGTTTGGACAGATCACAAGAAGGGCCATGCCAAAGTGAAAGACCTGGCCAGATTTAAGCCAATGCAGAGACATCTATTCCTCCATGAGAAAGCAGTTCTATTCTGTAAAAAACGAGAAGAGAACGGAGAAGGTTATGAAAAAGCCCCTTCATACAGTTACAAGCAATCCTTAAATGTAAGTAAAAGTTTAGATTAAAGCAGTGAAACGATTTTAGTTTTTGACTAAAGCACTCCTTTCTCTCATTGTGAAAAATCTAATACAGAAAGAAAAAAAAACTATCAAGAATGTATCTTGGGGGCAGCTAGGTGGTGCAGTGGATAGAGCACCAGCCCTGGATTCAGGAGGACTTGAGTTCAAATCCGGTCCCAGACACATAACACTCACTATCTGTGTGACCCTGGGCAAGTCACTTAACCCCATCGCCTAACTGTCCACTGCCAAAAAAAAAATAATATATCTGGTTATGATTTATCTGAGACACTGACTAGTGTGACCCTGGGCAAGTCGCTTAACCTCTATCTGCCTCAGTTTCCTCATCTGTAAAATCAGAATTATAATAGCACCTACCTTTCAGGATGGTTGTGAGGACCAAATGAGCACTTAATACAGTGCCTAGCACATAGTAGGTGCTTAATAAATGCTTGTTTCTTAATTGAAAAAAATAATAAAATGATACTTTTTAAAAATAATCTAATCATCTCCAGGCCCCAAGGGTGCATCAGAGTAGGACTTAAAAGGATGACAACAGTCTTTTAAGACCTGGATGTGCTCTTTGGAACATTTTTAATAAAACAGTTGGTTTCCTGCATGTGTTTATGCCTCTTCCCTGTGTCTTGTGTTTGCTAGATGACTGCTGTTGGAATAACAGAGAATGTCAAAGGGGATATTAAGAAATTTGAAATCTGGTATAATGCAAGGGAAGAGGTTTACATCATACAGGTAGGGGTGGCATGCCAATTGCTATTTTTTGAAACGAGGTTTTCATTTCCTCTGTTGTTCCTGTATGGGATTTTGTAATGTTTCTCTAGGCCTAGGCACCTAAATTCAGCAAGAGTAACCATGTCACTCTAATACGAACTTGGCAGAACAAGAAAATGGGTGTGAGGGAGAAGGAAAATGATAATGTAGACTGGGGTGACTTTCCTAACACAGCTCTAAGGAGACTCAAAGCTTTGTTAATAGCTGGCAGGTAAAGGCCTTTAAAAGGATGGTGGGGTGTTTGATAAAGAGATGAATCTAAAACTAAAAAATGTCATTGTCTGGAGGGGTGGGGAACTGCAGCCTCGAGGCCACAGGTGACCCTCTAGGTCCTCAAGTGTGGCCCTTTGACTGAATCCAAACTTCACAGAACAAATCCCCTTAATAAAAGGATTTGTTCTGTAAAATGTGGATTCAGTTAAAAGGCCTCACCTGGGGACTTAGAAGACCTCTTGTGGTCTCAAGGCTGCAGGTTCCCCACCCCTGGTCTAGATAGTAGAGACATGCATGAGATAGAAAAAGAAAAGTCAGCCTTTAAGAAGACAGAAACCACTGAGTCTCCTCAGGCTCCCTGACACTCTGCAGATGAACCCAGATGAGCAGACTAGCTAACCCAATACAGTATTCATCCCACTGTGTCTTGGGCCAGATTATCCATTTGTGCACACTGCACCCTGACAACAAGGGAGCCACCTTTAGAAACTGCATGACCATTTTGAGAACGTCTAGACCTATTTTTGTAAGTGAATCCTGCAGTTTACTTATTCAAGGTCAGAGTCTTTTTAGCCATGGAGGCTAGGGCTCCATAAAGAGACACATGCTGCCTCTAGCTCACAGATCCCTTCCCCAACATCTGATTCACTCAGAATTTGTGCTGCTTTATAAACTCAGTAAGCCTCTCTTGTAGGAATCAGCCATGTTCCTCACCTTTTATCCAAACCAGAATTTCTAACATGACTGAGCCTTATTATGGTGGAACCCTAATTCAGTCTTTACATGGTCTTCTCACTCCTGGGGAGAGAGAGCATAACTAATGAGCCAGGGGAGGGGCATGTTAAGCAGACTGTAACAGTGCCTTGGGCTCCTCTTGGGGCCTATAGTTAGACTGCAAATTGAGAGGTTGGTTGGCCCCTTGAGTCTGAGGTGAGCTATGGCAACACCATAGGTAGAAGAGAGAGACAATAGTCCCATCCAACTAGGCCTTTCCACAGGCTGCCATGATGTGTGGGCCCACCGCTATCCCTATTACAGAAGTCCCAGAGATTGACTCAGTAATGAGTAAACGAGGTGTGACTATACTCTTAGTCAAAAAGAATCATGAAGACTTTGGACCACTAGATAAAGATAAATGGCAGTAATAACAAACTATTTCCTGTGTGTCCTCATCCTTCCTGATCCAGTGATCCTCTCAATGCTTAAGGACTTGTTCTCACTTGCTTTACGTTTTTGCTCCAAGCAAGCTGTCTGGGACTTCTGGAATTAACTGGGATTGGAGCAGAAACCCATCCTTACACCTGGAATACTCTCCCTCCTCACTTCCACTTCTAAGAATACCTTGGCTCAAGTGAAATCTCACACACTAATTCCTCCCAGTCCCTAAATTACTTCAAATTTACTTGGAATATATTTGTATTTACATTTCTTCACAGTAGAATGTAGGCTCCTTGAGGGCAGGGGCTGTTTTGTTTTTTCCTTTTTTATCTCCAATAACTATAGTAATTAATGAATACTTGTTGAGTCATTGATTATGGCCAGTTGCTTGTATTGATTGCCTCTGCTGCTATAGTTCATATTCTTGACCAAAGCTCTGCTCCTTCCAGGTACAGGGGAATACTTAAGGAGGATGGATTCAGAGGCTTATAGGAGTAGAACCATAGAATTTTGGTAGAGGCTCTTCCTCAGCTTCCTCTAATGATTCATCAACAGAGTACTTTATGTAGATTTATGAATTCCATTAGCTTTCAGCCATTATTACCATTGAGTGGAGTCCTGGGGAAGGGAGCATGGGGTAACAGAGGATCAGGAAAATCTAGATTCAAGTCCCACCTCTGAGAAAGTCAGTCATCTTCTCTGTTCCCAGTAATTGTCAAAAAAGAAAAGATGCCAACCTGTATTGGTAGAGAGCATTTTCCTAGCCCAGTGAAATCACAGATTCAGTCTTTTTTTTTTTTTAAAGAATCCTTATTGAATTGCTGTTTTGATTGGCAAAGGAAAGGTGTTCTAGCAATTCTTAAGCCTCATTATAATTGCAAAAGGAAAATTACTATTTTTCTTATTTTCCCCAACAAGAAACTTGGATGAAAAGCAGTTGAATAACCTGTCCAAGGCCTATCAATTTCTAGCATTCATTTGGAAAGAACAAAAAAGATGGTATCATTTTGCTACGAGGAAAAATGACACTAGCTTGTGCCCTGGATTCAAACCACTAACTCATACCCATCAATCCCATCATTGCACTCCTTTTTTTACTCTTGTATGTGGCATTCCATTCAAATGATCTAGGGAGTGCTAAGGTTACATCTTTGCGCCTAGAGTTGGATGAGTAAAATATGTATTTGTTATACAAAGGAGATTCATTACTTGCATACTGACTTTTCACTTTGTTGGCAGGCCCCAACTCCTGAAATTAAAGCAACCTGGGTAAATGAAATCCGGAAAGTCTTAACCAGTCAGCTGCAGGCTTGCAGAGGTAAATAGTTCTTTCTCCAGCATTCTATGCACCCAGCTGATTTCTACCTTAAAAACAAACCAAAAAAACCTTTTAACTAAATTTCTTCCTGTTAAAACACACACACACACACACACACATACACACATACACACACACACCCCACCCCGCTGTCTTGTGTTTGTCCTGTCTTACAGAGGCCAGTCAGCACCGAGCACTGGAGCAGACTCAGAGCTTACCACTACCCACATCCTCCAATACAAGGTAGGTAGCCATAGATACAGCATGTGAAACATGGTAGACTTTTTGGCTCCAGAATGTGGTCTCATTTTCTTTATCTGACCCTTTCCCCTCTGAGTTTCCACAAGGATACTTCTGTGAGAGAGCTGGATCATCTCTAACCTTGCTTCCAGCTCTAAAAATGCCTGTGGTATTCTTCACCAGGGTAATGTTCATCATCTACCATTTCTACATTTATAATACCCTTTGAAACTGATCCCTTCTCTCCACTCACACTACTAATACCTTCAGTCACTCATCTCTCTCTTTTTTCTTTCTTTTTTTTTTTTTTGCGAGGCAATTGGGGTTAAATGACTTGCCCAGGGTCACACAGCTAGTGAGTATCATGTGTCTGAGGCCAGATTTGAACTCAGGTCCTCCTGACTCCAGGGTCAATGCTCTATCCACTGCACCACCTAGCTTCCCCCAGCCTTTCATCTCTTGACTACATTATGACAACAGCCTCTGAATTGGTCTCTCTGCCTCAACTCTCTCCTCACCCCCATCCATCTTACACACTATTGCCAGAGTAACCAACTCTAGCATCTTCCCATTATCCATGGGGTAAGATATAAAATATGTTTAGCTTCTAAATCCTTATACAACCTGCCCCAGTCTATCTTTCCAGCCTAAGTGAACATTATTCTTCATCCCACCCTCTGTGATTCAGCTTAATTGGCCTTTTCTTCATTCTTCACTAACAATGCTCCATCTTTCATCTCCATACTTTGCATTGGCCATTCTTCATTCCTAGTATATACTTTCTCCTTATCTCTAACTTGGGATTTTCTTGGCACAGACACTGGCGTGGTTGGCCATTCCCTTCTCCAGCTCATTTCATACAAGAGGAAACTGAGGTAGACAGGGTTAAGTGACTTGCCCAGGGTCACCCAGCTAGTAAGTGTCTGAGGCCAGATTTGAACTTAGGAAGATCAGTCTTTCTGACTCCAGGCCCAGCACTCTATCCACTGGGCCACCTAGCTACCTGATTTCCCCAAGTAATAGTGTCCAAACTATATTGTATTTAACTACTTTATATTTGTGCTATTTATATAGGGTGTCCCAAAAGTTTCCCTGAAGTTTTAAACTATTAAAGCTTGAGCTATTGTTTGTATTTATTAGCTGTTAAGGCTTAAAACTATACTTAACCTTTTGGGATGCCCTCTATATTTATATGTGCTTGTCTTCTCCACCAGAATGCATGACCCTTGAAAGTAGGGACTTCTTCATTCTTGGTACTTGTTTGTATCCCTAGCATAGTGCCTGCCACATGATCAGCCTGGAAATCAGGAACACAAGCCCCACCTGTGACATATACTAGCTATGTGACTCTGAGAAAGTCAGTTATCCCCTCAGTTCCCAGTAACTCTCAAAAAAAAAAAAAAAAAAAGATGCTGACCTGTATTGGTAGAGGGAGTTCCTACTCCAATGAAATCACAGATCCAGTCTATTTTTTTTAATAGAATCCTTATTGAAATGTTGTTTTGCTTTGCAAAGGAAATGTGTTCTAGCAATTCTTAAGCCTCACTACAATTGCAAAAGAAAAATTATTATTTTTCTTATTTTCCCCAACAAGAAACTTGGATAAAACTTATAGATACTTGTTGATGATCAATTGCATACATGTTGGATTAGTGCCATTATGGCAGCTTAAGAGAAAAACATCTCTCTCTCCATACATCCATCCGGATTTTTGTATATGTCAATCATTCATTGCCAGTCTTGATAAGGTTATGTCAGTATCTAAATAGCAGAAGACCAATTAAAGGACTGCTACATGTTGTCATTTAACATTCGACTTGGGGTCAGGAAGACAAAACCAAATCCTACTTTAGATGGTCAAATCACCTATATCAGGGTTTCAGTTTCCTCATTGGTAAAATAACAAGATTTGGCGTCGACTTGATGACTTCTCAGGTGCCCTTTCAGCTCTGATTCTGTGTCTCAGTGGGCAGTACTTGGGCTAGTGTCATCCCTATAAAGTCACTTTCCATCTATTCTCTATTAATCCTGTAAATTTTGATGAATATGTGTTGTCTTTCCGTAAGCTTCCTGAAAACAAAGACCATTTTTGGTTTTTCTTTGTATACCCAGTGCTTGTTAGCACCATGCCTGGAATGTAGTAATTGCTTAATTAATGATTCTTGACTGATTGGGCTACAAAGCCTACTTGTCTATAAATAAAATGTTCTCTGTATATTCTAACTCATTTGTATTTGTTTTTTATTGCAACAAATTCATTTTCTACCACCTTGTTAGAAGGTTGCAGCTTTGATTTTTTGGAGCATGTGTTGTTTTTAAGTTCTCTACCCTCCCATGCTGAACAGAGGGGATACTTGGGACAGGGGCCAGGCTTGCTACAACATCTCTATTGCCTGATCCCTTTCTACTCTCTTTCCTTAGAATGTGAGACAGCCCCTCTTTAAACCAAAGCTTCAACCTTGGCAGCATTTTATCCAAAAAAATAATAATAATGTTTTTTGAGAGAAAGGAAGCTCCTACTAGCTAGTAGTATTTTTTGATGCTTTGTAAACAGAAGCATTCGCTCTCTCAAAGCACTCAACAGGAAAATGTTGCTGGGGTATAAAATGGAGACGAAATCAAGAACATCCAGGGTACCAGGATCCTTGAGAAATTCTGAATGTGACTGCAAAATGATATTATCTTTATTATTATTAATTATTGTTCTTATTTGCCTCATCCATTAGTCCCTCGAAAAATCAAACAAAGAACGTTAAAAAATTAGAAGAAAGAAAAACTGACCCTGCAAGCCTGGAGGGATATGTCAGTTCAGCATCAGTGCAGAAGAACCCAGACAAAAGCAAAGGTGAGGCTACCTGCGTGAATTCTGTGTACTCACAGGTATACGACACCTCTGTGCCCAGTTACTGAGTTAAGTGTAACATTTAAGTTAGAAATTCACTGTTTTTTTTATTACAAGGTCTCATGCTTCTCCTATTGTCCCTGGTCTACTTTCATTAAGTCAGTTACTATTGTCTTTAACCCTACTACAGAGCTTTTCTGAAACATGATGCTCCCCTGGAGTTGGGCTCACAGCCCTGCCTGAATCTAGCCCTGAGAAATGCCTTCATTATAGACATCTATAATAATAAGCTGCAGTCCTCTCTCTTCCGTGAATACATCTCTGCTGTCTGTATGATGCTGACTCTGAGGTCTCTCTGTTATTTGGGGTTTTTGTGTACTCTCTCCATTTCCCTTGTCTCTCTTTTCCTTTATAGATGACACAGTTACTAGCTCTACCTCAGAGAGCTCTGCGCTGTCCAAAAAGCGCTTTACACTGCAGGGTTTTGCTAACCTCAAAAGTCAGAAAGGTAAACGCAACTCACCTCGGACTCCTTCCCACTTGTGTCCATCACTGTGATAGTGTGTCATTGTATTTGTGTGGCAGCTCATTGGTGTGTTGTATGCAAATGTGGGTTGTCTTCCCTGTTCTTTGGTAGCATATGAGACTTAAAAAAGAAATTTTAAGCCCGGTTACCTTAGATGTCTGAAACATATCAGCATTAAATAATAACCCAACACATTAAAAATAATTTGGTAGCATATGAGACTTAAAAAGAAATTTTAAGCCCGGTTACCTCAGATGTCTGAAGCATTAAATCAGCATTAAATAATAACCCACAACGTTAAAAATAATTTTTTAAACATCCCTTTTGAAAAAGGAAAGCTTTTCAAAAGAAAACTTGCCCAGGAATTGTTGCTGTCATTTTGCTTTTTTGGACCTAAACTCTTTTTTTTTCCTGTTAAGTCTTTTATTGACCTTTCCTGCCATGATTGTTCTTTTCTGACAAATGATGAGCCTCATATTATAGTGCAGTCATATAGCTATGTTTACTGGGAAATTCAATCTCTCTGAGGCTTTCCTGAACATTCTGGGTAATGCAATTCCATACATATCCTTAGGTAACTGAGAGGCAAACAACACTGGTGTTCCATTTTTGCCTTTGCAGAAACTCCATGGATAAGGACATGGCATTAAACCTTCTACCAAGACTAGGTTTCCATGTAGTTAGTTCCTTCTAAGGACAACTAGATGGTACAGTAAACAGAGTGCTGATCCTAGGATTAGAAAGAGCTGAGTTCAAATCTGGCCTCAGACACCAGCTATGTGACCCTGGGCAAGTCACTTAAGCCTGTTTGCCTCAGTTTCCTTATCTGTAAAATAAGCAGGAAATGGCAAACCACTCTAGTATCTTTGCCAAGAAAACCCAAATGGGGTCATGACTGAAAAAGCTTAACAACAAAGTTCCTTCTGGAAAAAAAAAGTAACTTCAAAATCCTGTTTAATCTTCCTACCTTTTTGAAAGCATAAGTATTGCATTCTTTTACTGTGTCTTTTTGAAGACCATAGGATGACCATAAAGTAAAGACTCATTTCCATGAGTTGCCTTTGGAAATTGAGTTTCATTTAACAAAATATATTAGGTACTTATTATGTGCAAGGCACTGGGGATACAAAACAGTCCCTGTCCTCAAGGAGTTGATATTCTGCTGAAAATAATCTTCTTCCTTTATAACTACATTTCATTTACTGTATTTACATTGTTTACTCTCGTGACAGTTTGCAATTACATCTTGTGTTTCCTGGAGTCATTTTCCAGATCTTCCTCAATCAATAATTCAGACGCTCAGGGGAGTGAATATTTCTTCCACCAAAGCAGACTGCAACCCCCTTCACGCTTCAGTAGATCTTTCTGAGATCCTGTGGCCAAGAAAATCAATCCCCTTGTGGTCAACCCTGTAGACTAGAGATAAACCTCTATCTAAACTCAATGCAATGAGTGCACAGAGCCCCTGCTTAAAAACCTCTTCAGCTTAGTCAGACCTGCCAAAACATATGCATCATTTTCTCTCTAGCAGAGCCTTTGAGAATCTTGAGAAAGCCCCATGCCATAGGGAGGCATCAGAATAGGATTCCAGTGGAAACAAAAGCCAAAAAAAAATCTGTATCCCACTCTAGAACTCGACTATTTAACATTTCTCCCTCCTATCTTCATTATCTCTCTTCTGTGTTTTTTTTTCTTTGCCTGTTCATCTTACTGCAGCTTCTCCTACCAGTCCTGACAAAAAAGCTAAGCGACATGAAGTTAAGAGTGATCCAACGCCTTTTGGTTTAAGAGGTAGAGTGATGCAACTTTTTGTACACAAAATGGCGATCCATTTTCCAATCCCACCAGAAAAGCCTTTGGGGAACTTCAGGGACGCCATGTGTATTGTTGTTGGCTATCACCTTGTGTGAACTTAACACTTCCTTCCTTGGCAGCAAAAATCTTCACATGTGTTTATAACCATAAAGTTCTGGTTCTGTCATCCAAGAAATCACATGATGACTTCAGTTCCATCGGGATCATCAGCCCTATTATTAAGCCAGATTTTTCCCTAATGCTTGAATCTGGCCCATTCCTATCCCAAACTGAGACCCTGCCTCCAGAGACACCACAAGGTTCAGGCTGGGTACTTTCTACTTACTTCTCTATCAAGCTGTAGAGTAACAAACATCCCAGCTTTCCTAAGCACCTAAAACAAATTGTCACAAGGTAACATACTATAAGCCTTATCACTTAGGCTCTTCTAGCTGAGACTTTAGCCCAGTTAAAGCCCTTCCCATCCAGTCTGTTTCTTCCATTTGTCTCGGATTAAAGAAATTAAAGAAGAAGAAGAAATTAAAGATGGCGCAGACCTATGTGGTCCCTTCATCTAAAGCACTATTCTATCAGAAGTTTCCTTAGAATAAATACATAAATCATAGGATACTGATAAATCATAGTAGTTTATGGCTAAAACTAGGAATGGTGTCATGTTATGTTCTCTCATATTTATTACGTTTGAATTTCAACCTTTATATGTTTTTTTCCTTACCTTCTCTATTTTAATGCAGTAACAGCTTCCAGAATATTTGTCCAGAGGACATTTGGCAGCTACACATATTTTCAAGCCTAGTAAAGGAATGTACTCCAAGCAGGGATTTTGGCATTAGAAAAGCAGGGGCTCTGCTTTAGGCCCAACCAGTATTTTTATCTTTGAAAGATGCTCTCAGACTCCTATAGACTTCTGCATAAATTAAGATTAGTAACACTTGTACATAAAAAGTGCCTTGAGCTCCAACATTGAAGTGTTGTACATAATAGCTTGCTATAAATTAAATCCCCTATTCTCCAGCAAAAGGTAATGCCCAATTAGTAGTCTTTTCACTTTTATTGACAGCAGAGACCTCCTGTCTAGTTTGGACAAGGAGTTCCATGCTTAAAAATATTTAATAACAAAACTTGGTTGAGATGAGTAAGAGAAAGAAAGCTATTAGACCTTCACCCTCAGCATCCAGTCCTCTTACCAGGGGTGGGGAACCTGCAGCTTCGAGACCACATGTGGCCTTCTAGGTCCTTAGGTGTGACCTTTTGACTGAGTCCAAGTTTTACAGAACAAATCCTTTTTTTAAGGGGATTTGTTCTGTGAAGTTTGGATTCAGTCAAATGGCCACGCTTGAGGACCTAGAGGGTCACATGTGACCTTAAGGCCCCAGGTTCCCCACCCCTGTCTTAGCCCATCCTTTTATGGACAGGTCCACAGTGGAAGTGTTAGAACTCACAACTAAGGAGGAGTTGGAGGCTAGTGATAAATTTCCACTTAATACTTTGTCTTGCCATTTCATTAATTGCTGCTGTTCCCAAAGGTAGAACCCCCAAAGCATGCTAAATTACAGTGAGATTTACCATAGAAAAACTCACAATTCCTAGTTCTTTCACAGATGCGAGCTCAGTAGTAACACTGACCAGGGCCAGGTGGTTCAGCTCATCTAACTTGGCCCCAGCATCCCAGCACAGGAAAGGTAAAGCCCAGGACTGGCCTGGCCCTGCCCTTGCCCCCAATCTTGCTGTTATTTGGAGTGAATTCTAATCCTGTGTGCAGTGGGACCGCATTGGGGATGGCTATGGCTCTTTCTGGCTATAACTAGCCTATTTAGAATGCTTCTTTTGCTGACTTAAGATACTCTACTGACTGATGTCAAACTGAAAGGAGAGAGAGAGTAAGCAGGAATGAGGCTCCTTTTTCTCCCCATCTTGTTATCTGTCTCCTCCTTACCTGCACAAAGTGGTCTTTTGATCTCCTTTTAAAGCCATGCTTTTCACTGAGATTAAAAGCAAGTAATAGTTACGGGGTACCGAGATTCAGCCAACTCTGCCCCTACCACCCTTCCAAAAATATTTGTGTTTGCCTATTTTTAATTGCTTGTATCCAGTGAAAATCAGGCTGCCCACAGTACTGGAGTGTAATTTGGGAAATGCATGCTGCGTATTCTGGTTGGGTCAGAACCAGAAAAGAAATTGGAATGGCTTTGTTTTTCATTTCTGCTTGTTCCTAATCATGAGCAGCATGGCCCTGTGGACACGATCTGACTCTTACTCCCACAGGAATTAAGCTTAAATTTGTTAACAGGTAGAATGTATTTTTTACAAGGCTATTTGGGCTTTTCTATGTATATTCACATTAACAGTTTCCCTGTCCTCCTAAAACATAATTGAAATCTCAGTAACAAAAAGAAGAGATACATAAATATAGATATGTGTATATATGTGTGTGTATATATGTATATGTGTGGGTATATGTATATATATGTGGACACACATACACACACGCAATTATGTGTATCATAATTGCCTACTTGAGGAGACATTGGCTCACTCCAGAGGCAGCATAGTATATTGTAGCAATTCTCAAACTTTTTGGTCTCAGGACCCCTTTACACACTAATAAATTAATGAAGACCCAAAGAGCTTCTGTTTTTGTGTGCTATATCTACTGATATTTACTGTATTTGAAATTTAAACTGATAATTTTTTTAATATTTATTAATTCATTTAAAAATAATGCCAAATCTATTACATAGTGCCATTCTTAAAATGTCATTTTTAACTATATTTTCCAAGACAAAAAAAGGCATTTATTCAGAAGAGTGGCTTTGTTTTATATGCTTTTGCAAATCTGGCTTAATGGAAAACAGCCACATTCAATCTGTTATAGTGCTTTGGTTGAAATATAGGAAGAAAATCTGGCCTCAGATATGTCGTTGAAAAGAGGAGGTATATTCTCACAGGCAAATGATATCTTAATATTATGAAAATGGTTTTGACCTCATAGAAACCCTGCAAGAGATTCAGAGTATCCCAGTGTTCCGTGGACCACCCTTTGAGAACCACTAGTATAGTAACTAGAAAATAACCTTGAATTCAAGAGGATCTGGGTTCAAATCTTGCCTCTGACATATACTGGCTATATGACCCTGGAGAAGTCATTTAACCACTTAGTGCCCAACCTATTCTCCAATACTTAAGCAGATGCTAATTTTCTTTGGTAGTGATAGTTTCCAACTTCACTAAAACCACTGATCCAGTCCAAAAAGAACCCCCAAAACCACAAATGCTTAGATTTTCCTTCCTTGGACTTTTTTTTCTCATTAATCTACTGGATTAGGAAAAATTGCTGTTTTCTTTTACTTGGGCATCTCTGACGTGAGGCAAAAGTATAGCTATCCCATGTGTTCCTGGTGAGTTCCCTCTGGAACTCGTGTTCACCAAAGTAGTCTAATAAAGAAATCCCATCTGCTAAAGAAAGGATCTCTTTCCTTTCCTTGTAGGGGGCAGGTGCAACTTTGCAGGGTTCACAGATAGAAAGAATGACATAAAGAAGGGATCTGGAATTAATTCCTTTCCATTGTGGTTGCTTGGCAGATGGTAACATATGTCAATTTTTAATCCTTATTTCCCCAGTATTGATTTTTACAAACGAGCCCAAAACAGCTTGTGCCAGATATTTCTGAAATCTGAATTTGGAAAAGATATGATATATGTGGAGCAAATTTTTTTGGCTTTGAATTTCAAAGTTTTTGCTCATAAATACTATGTCCATGTAGACATGGTACATCTTGAAGTCAGGAAATATAATATTCTTCATATTATGGCTCTGATAGTTGCTAGTTGCATGATCGTGGGCATATCGCTTTACCTGTCTGAGCCTCAGTTTCTTCATCTGCAAAGTAGAGATGATGATAATACATGAACTACCTACTTCAAGAATACTTTGTATTTGGAAAATACTTTGTACTACTTGAAGGTCTTTGGAAATATGAGCTCATATTGGTCCAATCCATGCAGGGCTCTAAAATTCCACTACCCTTTTGTCTCAAGGTTGGTGCCTTTGTGTATTAGTTCTAAATTCCTTATTTCTTTATCAGGTTGGACTAAAACTTCCTATTCCCTTGATGCTGCTGAAGACAATGATGGCTGGTCAAGTACTGAGGAGCCCCTGAATTCATCAGATGCAGAGGAAGAAGGTGGAGCAGGACCCAGGAAACTGGTAAGCCCTTTAAAGCATTCTCATTCTGGCCATGGCATGTTACACATGTTTCATCCTCACTTCTGTGATTTGTGTCTAACTGGAAGCGGCCCCTAAACCTGGAAATTCAAGTTTCTCAGTCCTCTCAGGAGCATCTCTGCCAAATAATTTTTTAAATAAAAACCCTAAATTCCAGGGAGTTGCTATTTTGTAATGTGAATTACAGTATTTTCTCTTTTTGTAAATTAGAATGTTCCTGAGTTTTTCTAAAGCAGGGCACACCTATACAGGCTCATGAGGTTGATTGGAGTATGGGTCTTTTTTCTAAGTAGTGTGTCTAAAGTGTGTCATCAGATTTATTCATGAGGATATATGTGCACTTTTGTGGTCAGCTGTAGTAATTTGTTTGAACCAAAGAGGTCTTCAAATGTGACTCTCATGAGTGCCTTATGCCAAGAGATTATAAAAACAATAGCTAATACTTACATAGTATTTACTGTGTGACAGGCACTGTACTAAGCACTTTATTGTTATTATCTCATTTGATTAAGAGATTGAAGTTCACAAGTATGGGCAGATTTCACCCTCTTGCATTTCCTCACTTCAACTCTCTTACCTTCCCAGACCACCCCGCCCCCTTTCATCTCCCCTTCCTTGACACCTATACAAACTGCACCACAAAATTTGACACCACCTTATATTATGCTCTCATTGTTTCATGTTAGAATCCAACCCTTACCTTATTGTCTCTGAGGGCCAGGACCATGTCCCAAAGTCTTTTCTGTCCCCATACTCTGTCACAGTAAGGTGAAGCTGTTCACTGAATACCTACTGATTGCCTCACAACATAACTAGTTTATATATTTATAAACTGTCAAAAAAAAAGTATTTTTTGCTTGTATCCAGAAGAACAAGCCCAAAATACTATAAATAATTTTTGTTGTTGTTGTTGCTACCCTTTCTTCATTCCTTTTTTGTCCCTCCTTCCCAAACCTCAGGTTCCTGGCAAATATACAGTTGTGGCCGACTATGATGAAAAAGGAGGTCCAGAAGCCCTTGCTGTGAAAAGTGGAGATATAGTAGAATTGCTACATGAGGGAGAAGAGGGACTTTGGTAAGGGGAAAGTCATCTGTGCTTTTTACCTTAAGACTTATTTTTTTAAACGCATGGAATAGAACCATTTGACAGACACCACCTTTCTTAGGTTTGTAAAGAACCTGACCACCAGCAAGGAAGGCTGGGTACCAGCCAGCAACCTGTTGGCATTGATTGGCAACTCAAAATCAGCTCAGTCTTTGAGCAGCTCAGGTAAGACCATACTGCCTACATACATATCCAGGGTTGCCTGCTTTCCCATTACGAGCCATATACCTATGTGTATAAAAGCAAAGTTAAAAATAAAAGCAGTTGCAATATCTATTTATTCTCCTAATCATTTTCCTCTTCTCTAGAATCTGGTACTGGTTCCACCTTTTTGAGCTCCTCCTCAAGTTGCAGTGAGAGTTGCAATGCCACCTTCTCAGACATCAAGGGTTAACAACTAAGGGCTCACTTATTAAGATTCCTGAAATAAGGACACCATGTGCAGACTTCTGATGGCGAAATTGCAGGAGTGAAAACCATCATGTACCTCTGACAGTTTTGTCTTGCTTGGAATTTACTTAGAGAAGGGGAAGTTTCTTTCAAAATTAAAAGAAGATTCAGAAGATGACTCTGAGAATCTGAAAATAATTTACTGGAAAAGCTCCTGAGCTGTATGTAGAACAACCTAAGGTGCAAGAATAAAAGGAAATGTTCTGAAGCGTGGGACACTTAAGAAGCTTCTCATCAGAAGCTTCTCATCTTTAGTCTCAATTCCAGAACTCACTTCCTAATGTACAATATTTCAATTTTTACAGAAAGAAACCAGTTCAATCATGCCACGTTGGAAGAAATGGACAGTGGTGAATTCCCTGCTAAAAACAAGGCTTTGTACAAAGCATGGCTACGCAAACTTACACTACTAATCATACTCTCAATGAACATTCTTTTATGGGTTGATAGTGTCTCATAACTAGAAATGGGGTTTTGATCCAGTTATTCTGCTTTTGTTGTCTTCTGCAAGAATATGCATCCTTTTGAAATTGGTCACTAAAGAAATGAACAGTTCACTGACCCAACAGCTTGGAGACAGGACTATTTTATCTTCTACAATTTTTTTTTAAGGATATTATTTCGTGGTCATTTTTTTTTTGTGGTACTTTGGCCTCTAACCAAATTCTTTACCAAGAATCACTGTGTTTACAAAAAAAAACCAATTTGATACCGCCTTTGATACAGAACTATTTTTTGTTACTAGTGTTCACATTTAAACATATTTGTAAATTAAATAATCTAATGTTATCTTACCTGTCTATAATACCAAGGTAACTTCATTCAGCTGAAGTTCTTTGGTTGTTGGTGAATGAAATTGGGCTGGTTTTGATTGCCAGAAGAAAATACAAACTATAAAATATTCATCATTTTTTTCTACCAAAAAAAGATGTGGGGAACTCTTTCCATTTTTTAAGAATTTCTCTACTTTACATATCTTTTTTACTGTTTTTAAAGAAATGGTAAAGATGCAATTTTTGCAGGCTATTAGCCCAACCAGTGCTCTTTATTATAGCCTGAGATTCTCTGAGATCTAGCCTTCCACTATGCAGGCTTAGACCTTAACTGGTCTATTCCAATTCAGAACTTTCCTCTGCTTAAGAAACAAAGCTTTGGTTGTCCATGTAACATTATTTTACAGTACTTTGAATATATCAATATAAATGCAGAGAAAATTTTCTTGCTCAAGGTAGAACTGAAAAGGAAATGCCTCACTGTTTTTTGTTTGTGTGTGTGTGTGTGTGTATGTGTGTGTGTTTCAGAAAACAAAACGCTTGTTCTACTGATTGTTGAAACACACTCTGTACCTAATTGGGGCAGATATTTTTTATATGTATGTATATATGTTAATGTGTGTATATGTGTATATATAAATATTGATGTAAAGGTTGTATTTATAGTCTCCATGCTGCTGAGAGTATGTCACTTTACAATCCATAAATATAAGTCTTCATGAATACCTGAAACATGGGATTGATTGAGATTTTTGTTTCCTAGTCTGCTTTCCATATGCTCTATCAGAAGGAAATCACTCCACATTTCCTATGATCTGTGAATCCCTCCTTAGCCAGAAACCTCTTGCTTCAAGTGCGGTATTGAAAATGGAACATGGGAAGAGACATGATGGCTTTTCTTCAGGTTTATAAATTATTTGTAAATGCCATGTAACATAATCCACTCAAGTTTATTGTTTGGATGTTTTCCTTGCGGCAGCCTCGCTACTTTGTGATTATCTCATCTCAGCACTTTAAACCTCACAGTTCATTCACTGTTACTTTTTTTTCTACTGCTAACGTAAATGACATACAAAATTAGAATTCCTTATTGTATGTATTATGGTTGGATGAATAAATTTCAGCAGCTCTTTGCTGTATGTATATCTTCATTTTACAAAGAGCACCATAGCATTCTCTGTGTGTCTTCTTTTGTATCAGAGTACAATTTGGGGGTTTTTTTCCCTGCAAGTTTCTCACGAAGTACATCTAAACCTAACCTTAAATAGGACTTGTTCAAGCATTCTTTGCTTTTTGTCATAAAGCTGTTAGTGCTTTTAGAAGGGCTCAGCCTCTCATTCTGTGCAACATTGGAGAAATCATTTGTCTGTTTGGTCTTTTAGTTCCTTTCACTCACCTGTAGGTTGTGACAGTGTAACCCATCCATACTTTCTCTTTCATCCACTCCAATGAAGGAAATGAGGGAAAGATTGAAAATTGTGAAGAGGGAGGAGGTTCCATCATCTCATTTCTATGGAATAGGGTGTTCTGGGTCATAGCAACATGAACCTGCACAGCCTAACACCGTTATGTTGCTAAGGCAGTAGTATTATGCATCCTTTATTAGCATCTTCCTGTAAGAAAGGATAACATTTCTTTGAACTTTATATCTCTTTTACTCAGCATTGACTTATTCAAGAAATGCTTAGCATGTACCTACTATGGCTAAGTATTCTGTTAGGGCAGGGGTGAGGAACCTGGGGCCTCGAGGCCACATGTGGCCTTCTAGGTCCTCAAGTGCGACTCTTTGGCTGAATCCAAACTTCACAGAACAAATCCCCTTAATAAAAGAATTTGTTCTGTAAAACTTGGACTCAGTCAAAAGACCAAACCCAAAGACCTAGCAGGCCACTTGTGGCCTCAGGGACGCAGGTTTCTCACCCCTGTTAGGCACTGGCGAAGTGACAATGAAAAAATCCTAAAAAAACTTAGAGACAAATAGTATTATCTCTCTTTTCTGAAAGAAGGAACTATGACCTAACAAGTTTAACTTTCTCGAGAGCATAATGAAGCTAGACCAAAAACCTGTTTCTAAGTCCTAGTCCCTGACTCCATTCACTGTGCCAAAAATTTGACTAGGACAGAGACTTAGAGCTGGAAGATACCTCAGAGATGATCTAGTCCAATCCTGCTATTGTGCACATGAGTACACCAAGGCTCAGAGTGATTTGTGATTTGCCCAAGGTCACAAATCCACAAAGTATCAAAAGTGGAATCAGAATTCAGCAATCTTTATACCACACCTCTGTACAGAATATTTAACTGATCACTGAAATTATTATTGGTCCAATAATGAATGTTTCATAATTTCTGTTCCAATATGACCCAAAAAACCAAACCATGAGTTTTTGTTAAATGATCATGGATATAATGAGAGGAAGAGAACATGAAACCAAATAGGGATGGCATTATGGAGTATTGGTGAAAAAAAAAAAACCCACTACAAACTTCCATTTACTATTTTGCTTTAACCTCTCTGGGATGCCATATTCTCACATTTAAATAAAGATGTTAAATTAGATATCTCTAAGGTCCTTTCCAGTTGGAACAGTCTGAGTCTTTTTTTACCTTTTACTTCATACCTTCAAACACCTATGATTTTGTTTGGCTGACTCCCTTGACCAATAAGGATTATGACTCCACACCTTAGTAGTCTGGGTTACTTTGGCCAAAAAAGTTCATCATTTGGTGATGGGTCTGTCTGAGCAAGCCAAGACCCCACAGTGCTTATGCTCCCATTGGTATAACCTTTTAGGACCCAGGGTCACGTCACTTGGATGAAAAATTAGGGTAAAGCAGGGTTCTACATTGGTTTTTTCATCCTTTAACCAAAGGTCTGACAGAAAGAAATTAAACACATTTTGATGTTGAAGGCTGTGCACTTGGAGACTGAGAAAGTGAGCTTTGTAAGTGAGGATTTGAAAGTGTTGGAAAAACTGGAATGCTGTCCTGTAGCTAGCTTTCTTTGGGTAAACAAATCCAACTGACCAGAAGAAATGGGATGTGTGAATAACAGAAACCCCAGGTGATGGATCTCTGCTGGGGAAGCTATTTTTAAACATCCCGAGCACACAGTGTGAGGCCCTCCAAGCAACAGGATAGGATGGCAGTCAGCTGCTCCCACTGCCACATCCACTGTGGGAGATAAGCTCTAGGCCATCAGCCAAAGACATTGGGCCTCCTCTGCTTGTTGGGGGACATGAAAATGTGACAAAAGGCAACAAACCTTTGTATATATATTATAAGTATATATTATGAATATATATATATATTTTCCCCTCACACCAGTTTTTCAATTTGTGTATTCACAGATGATCTGAAAAGATTGGCAGATTTTCACTTTATCATGTGAAATGAAAGAAATCTAAAACCAAAGTCCAAATAAAAGTTAACACTTTCCATGCTGTATGCATTCAATATCTTGTGGAGGAATGTAGACAATGAAAAGATGATTTGACTACACTCCTAGTTTCAAATCCCACCCGTCATACTACCTGTGTGACCTTGGGCAAATTTCAACCTCCCTGGTTCTGTTTGCTCACCTATAAAATAAAGAGACTAGAAGGTCTCTGAAGTCCCTTCCAGTTCCAAATCTGTGATCTTACGAACCCTAGAACCTCTAACACCATCTATCCCAACCTCAGCCTGAACCAGAACTCCCTCTACAACAGCCCTAACAAGCGGCCATCCAGTCTCAGCTTGCACACCTCCAGTGAGAGGACAGAGACTTGGTGGTTGTTTAGTCCTCTCAGTCATTTCCAATTCTTCAGGACACCATTTGGGGTTTTCTTGGCAAAGATACTGGAGTGGATTGCCACTTCCTTCTCCAGGTCATTTCACAGGTGAGGAAACTGAGGCAAACAGGGTTAAGTGACTTGCCCAGGGTCACACAGCTAGTAAGTGTCTGAAACTGGATTTGAAACTTAGAAAGATAAGTCTTCCTGACTCTAGTTTGGGCACTCTATTCACTGTGCCACCTAGCTGCCTGATGACAGATGCATCTAAGACAGGTGCCATTTTTGAACAACAATCTTTTTTTCCTTGTTGAGCAACTGAAACTTCCAGCGAGTCAAGACAGTTCTAGTTTAATAAATCTGTTAACTACAAGTTGTGTGCATTTGGGTGTTGTACTTTCTACATTCCCCCAGTGCAAGAAAGCCTGTAAACTTTATTAAGAACAAAATAACCCTACAACAGCATTTTATTGACTCGAAGATTCTGCAGTTAGTTGGAAACTGTTGCAATTGTATGGTGGGCATTTCATTATTCTCTGTAAGATGGGTACCCTACCTTGGAAGGTGCTGGCCACAGGTCATTGGAATTAATGGTAGAGCCAGATAGGCAGAGAAGCCGATACTGCCAAATGGATCTAAGTTATCCAGTACCCAGGCACTTTTCTCTCTGATCATCTGTTTCCTTAGCATACCCCATTATGGCCTGAGATCCTGTAACATGGTAAAATGCCCCTCTCTTCTTCTGCCCTTGCTCCCCAGTTACTAAGTCTGCTGCACCCTACATCCTGCCCTCCATATTCCTGACCCCAATCTCCTAACATGTGCCTTTCTTCTAATCATTGCCAGCCCTTAATGATTCAACTTTATTCATAATTTCAGGTGACCTGATGATAAAAATGGAACAGGAAAATTTGAACCCTTCCCCAAAACAAAGATTATTTTCAGAAATCACAGAATCTTTCCCAAAAATCTTCAGAATTTTCTTTGCTCGCTTCCATTTTTCTTCTCTATCTGTACATTAGTCGGGTAAGAAAATATCAGCATTTGTCCTTGGCAGTTGCTATATATCTTTGCTTCCCCCTCAAGTAGTGCTCTTCATAGATAACCAGTAGATGACTCTATGTGACCTCAATCAGTCAACCAACATTTGTGAAGCATTTACTATGTGCCAGGCCCACAAGTGCTCAGACACTTCCTAGCTGTATGATCCTGGGCAAGTCATTTAACCTTATTTGACTGAATTTCCTCATCTAAAATGAGCCAGAAAAGGAAATGGCAAACCACTCCAGTATCTTTGCCAAGAAAACCCCAAATGGGGTCACAAAGAGTCAGACAGTACTGAAAACAACTGACAACAAAAACAATGTTCCAGGCACTGTGCTGGGGATACAAATATAAGCAAAAAGCATTTACTGTCATCAGGGAACTCTAATGGAACCTCTTGTATCCAAGTTCCTTTCATTATATTGTAGATTAAACTAAATAAATTTCCTTTTTATACCAGAAAACAAATCTTAAATTTTATCATTTTTTTCTTAAGATATACATGCTAATATCATACAAGATTCCTTGGATTATTGATATTCAAGGCAGAAAACAAGGAGATATATGCTTGCCAAAGCTTCACTACTGGTTCTTAGTTGTACTAATTGTACTAAGCATCAGAAAACTACAGGATGTCCTCAAAGAGATACACAATCACTGGAAAGGAATTAGCTTAACAAGCCACACAAGAAAAATCAAATAGATAAAGGAGACTTGTTCGCAAATTGAGATACACTTGATACATGATGTACTTGAATGAGTAGCCCATTGAATTAGTCCAGTAATATATATATCTTAGATAAGTTCTTCAAATGGACAAAGTTGGGCAGAGAATTGAATAGAAGAGCAAGCTATCCCTTATTTGGGATATTGTGTTTCACTTTCAATAATTTCAAGCTGCTTCCCGAAACAGACACTCATCTTTTTTGAATGCAAATAGACTCCCAGTAATGCTTTATAGCTGCCATTCATGAAGCACCATGATGTCCAAAGGAGGAGAACTACAAGTGATTCAAAGGACAATGGAGAGACTCAAGGTGGTTATATGTAAGCCTATTGCTAATGGTATTTGTATACAAAAGGTGATTTAAAAGATATAATTGAGATGTAGCAGGTAGGCAAGTCATTTAGTAAGACCAAAGGAAAAGACAACTGGACAACTGCTCAGGTAATAAAAAGTTTAAATACCTAAGGAGTCTGTTGAGCCTCCTCTTGATCAGTCCTCTTGGGAAGATCTACTGGGGGCTTCACATGAAGCATAAAGATCATAAGATGCAAAGATCAGCATCATGCAGAATAAAAAAAAAACATAGAGTGG